CACGATTTAACGGAGATATAACACGTTTCATGTCCTTTTGGCAGAGTTTCGAGAATGCCATAGATAAAAACGAAAGCATAACTGCAGTTGATAAGCTCAACTACTTGGTGAATTTGTTGGAGGGTCCAGCATACCGTGCAGTATCAGGACTCGAACTGACGGAACAAAATTATTTAAATGCAATGGAAATTTTGAAGGCAAGGTTTGGCAACAAACAACAAATAATCTCGACGCATATGCAGGCTCTCCTTGGGCTACAAAACTGCCCAAACGAAAACGTGAAGCAATTGCGCTTCATTTACGACAGCATAAATGTACACGTAAGGGGGCTTGAAGCCCTTGGTATGAGTTCTGCAAGTTATGGCAGTTTATTAGTACCAATCCTTATGGCAAGAATGCCGCGAGAAATTACATTGCATGTCGCCAGAAAGACGACCGAGGAAGTTTGGCCGATAAAAGAAATATTGGAGATCGTCAAAAAGGAAATTGAAGCCAGGGAACTGAGCGATAACATCAAGCCCGTCGAAAAGAAATGTGACAAAACTTCAGGATATGGATCAAAATCACCACAAGGCACTACGAAGACATTTTTGACGAAAGACGAAAAAGTGCAAGATTGTGTTTATTGTGGGCATGCACACTCTCCGTCAAGCTGCAAAGAAGTCCAGGAAATAACGGGTAGAAAGAAGATCCTATTGGAGACCAAACGATGTTTTTCCTGCTTAAAATCTGGACACATGACAAAAAAGTGTCGGGAAAATCGAAATTGCAAAAAATGTGGCAGAAATTTTCACCACGAGTCAATTTGCTACAAAGGAGCAAAACAAACGGAGGAAGAAACAAAGGTAACTACCAGTGTTACAGGAAAACAAGAAGTTTTGCTGCAGACGGCAACTGCGTATGTTTATGGGGCAGACAAGGCTCAGAGGATGAAAATCAATGTTTTCTTCGATAGTGGGAGCCAACGAAGTTACATCTCTGAAGAAGTCAGACGAAAACTAAATCTGGAAATCGAAAGACAGGAAAACTTAAATTTGAACACATTTGGAACTGAGAAATCAGTACGCAAGAAATGTGACGTCGTTAAGTTAATGTTAGAGACAGGAATAGATGAGACGCCAATTTTGATAAGCGCAATAAGCTATCAGTCTATTTGTTCGCCTATAAATACGCGCATAGACGTAAGCAAGTATCAGCATTTGATAGGCCTTTATCTAGCGGACAAGAAGCTAAGCGAGCAAAATAGGCGCATTGATTTGCTTATTGGTAATGATTATTTATATGATGTAATCATTGGTGATGTTATTAGAGGTACATCAGGGCCAATAGCAGTAAGTAGCAAATTAGGATGGCTACTTTCGGGAAAAGTACCAGGATCCTTGGAGCCTAAAACCTATTCTAAAGTGACTTCTAATTTGATTTTAGATACGTCAGTTGGAAGGCCTGTCGAAGAAAATGAGGAAATAACACAAACGCTTCGCGAGTTTTGGAAACAAGAATCACCGGGATTGACAAGGGGAGTGAACCCACAAATGAAAACAAACAAGATGAGCAATTTGAAATCACCTTTAATGGTAAAAGGTACCAGGTAAGCCTTCCTTGGAAGGTTGATATATCTTGCCTTAATGATGATTATAACTTGGCATTAAATCGCTTAAAATCTTCGCTTTGCCGGTTAAAAGGAAACCCTGAATTATTATCTGAATATGATAACATTTTCAAAGAGCAATTAAACAACGGAATAATTGAGCAAGTCCCTGTGGAGGAGGAGAATCAGGGTAATCCTCATTTTATGAGTCACCATGGTGTAATTCGACGAGATCGTGAAACAACAAAACTTCGTGTTGTTTTTGATGGAAGTGCGAAATCGCACAAGGAAGCTTTATCTCTTAATGAATGTTTAGAACTTGGTGATAATTATTACATGCCGCCATTATTCGATACGTTATTACGTTTCCGCTCACATGCCATTGCTATAACAGCTGATATTGAAAAGGCATTCCTTCAGATTGAAATTGATGAAAAAGACCGGGATGCTTTACGTTTTTTGTGGTATGACGACATTAGTAAGCCGAATCCAACGGTTATTCAGTATAAGTATTGTAGACTGGTGTTTGGTTTAAGACCATCGCCATCTATACTGGGAGCCACAATTAAGAAACACATTGCTCAATATGCTAATCGATTTCCTCGTGTTGTTAAAGTGTTAGATCGGCTTTATGCTGATGACTTATCATGTAGCACAAATTCTATTGATGAGGCGTTAGAGATTTTCCATAAGTCACGGGAGATTTTGTCCGAAGGTGGGTTTAACCTTCGCAAATTTAAAACTAATGACACAGCTTTGTTACATGAAATCAAAAAGGTGGAAGCAGGTAACGTACCCAATGGTGATAATGCGAAGGAGATCATACAAGATGATCAATCCTTCGCTCAGCAAACAATAGGCCCACCTCAAAGGGAAAATAATAACAAGGTCCTTGGAGTAAATTGGGAAAGTAAAAAGGATGAACTGTTTTTTGATCTGGGGTCAATTATAGAACTAGCAAAAACACTTAAGCCCACAAAACGCTCTCTTTTAAAGTTAGCAGCCAAGATTTTTGACCCGATCGGTTGTCTTAGTGTGTATACCATCAATTTGAAAGTGCTCTTTCAGGAACTTTGCGTAGACAAATGGGGGTGGGATGAAGAGCTCACAGGAGAAGCAAGGGAAAAATATGATCGTTTCATTTCGGAAATAAGTCGTTTAGACGGGATTCGCATGCCAAGATGTTTTTTTGACCCAGGTAAAATAGTAAGCCAAGTCGAAATACATGGGTTTTCAGATGCCAGTGAGACTGCTTACGCTGGAATTGTTTATCTCCGCATTGTGTACGATACGGGGGAGGTAAGCATCAAGTTTGTCACTGCCAAGGCCAGGGTTTGTCCTCTAACAAAACAAAGCATACCACGTTTAGAGCTTTTAGGGGCACAGTTACTCGCAAAATTAATCAGCACAGTAAAAGGTACTCTTGGGGAGGAGCTTCACGGCACGCCTATCAAAGTATTTTATTGGGTAGATTCGGTTTGCACTCTTTGCTGGATAAAGAACAATAAGGTTTGGAAGCAATTTGTACGCCATCGCGTGTCGGATATTTTACGAACTTCAAGCCGCGATGAATGGTTTTATTGCCCGGGATCTCAAAACCCAGCTGATTTACCGTCAAGGGGTATATTTGGTCCCAAGTTAGAGCAAAATCTTTTTTGGTGGGAGGGTCCGGGGTTTCTAAAACAGCCACCCACAAAATGGCCTAAGCAAGAAGATATTTTCGAATCCGGTTCCGCTTTAGAGGAAAGAGTAAAATGTAGCCCCAATATCACGCATGCTTTAGCAACTAAGGAAAAAGTTGGCAACGTTGTAGATTTTGAAAGGTTTGGTTCTTACCAAAAATGTGTCCGTATATTAGCATGGGTACTTCGTTTTATACATAATTTACGCGCATCGTTAAAAAACAATACTTGTCAGCGAGAAAATCAGATAAATATAGAAGAATTTGCTAACGCAGAAAATGTTCTTATACGCTCAATTCAAGGTGAATTCTTTTGTAAGGAAATTGATTATTTACAATCAAAAGGGGACAAAAAACCCCCTTTGTACGTTTCGCAATTTCAGCTCTTCGTAGACGAAAAGGGCATTTTGAGGTGTCAAAGTCGTATAAAAAATGCATCCGTCATAGAGTCAAGCATAAGACCAATCTTATTACCGAAGTCTCATCAGGTTTCCAAATTGCTTGTTCTCTATTGCCACGAAAAAGTCATGCACGATGGAATAAGGGAAACGTTAAATCTTTTACGACAAAAGTATTGGATTCCTCGTGCAAGGGAATTAGTTAAAAGTATTGTACGCAAATGTATCACATGTAGAAAATTAGAAGGTTTGCCATATTCTACTGTATTTTGTCCAGACTTGCCACGAATGAGGGTCGATGATCAGCCCCCATTTGCAAATACAGGGCTAGATTTTGCAGGTCCATTGACAGTTGCAAGTAAAGGTAACAATGATGGAGAAGAGAAGTTTTATGTCTGTCTTTTTACTTGTATGTCGACAAGAGCAGTTCATTTAGAACTTGTAGAATCACTCAATGTCGAGTCATTTTTACGAGCGTTTCGAAGATTCGCAGCACGTAGAGGTTTACCGTCTCTATTGGTAAGTGACAACGCCAAGACCTTTAAGTCAGCTTCAAAGGATGTAAAACATCTTTTGCGTTCCCCTAGGTTAGGTGAAAGTCTTGAAAAGAAAGGAGTTAAGTGGCAATTCATAGTTGATAGAAGCCCATGGCAAGGAGGTGCTTGGGAAAGGTTAATAAGGAGCGTAAAACGTTGTCTAAAAAAGGTAATAGGTCGGTCATACCTAACGCAAATAGAATTAAATACCATCTTGATTGAGGTCGAAGCAGTAATCAACTCTAGGCCAATTACTTATGTATATGATGACACTGACGGTATTTCATATCCATTGACACCGTGTCAATTAATTAATGGAAGAAATCTATCACTTTTGCCCCAAGACAGGTACTATGAAATGCTAAGTACATACGAGGTTCTTTCAAAACGAGCCAAGTATCATAAGACTCTACTTCAACAATTCACGAAGAGATGGAAGAAGGAATATTTAACAGGTATTATGGAAGCTTATAGACCGAAAGACAAACGGGAAGAGCCAGTCATATCGGTTGGAGATATAGTTCTTTTAAAGGATGACGATAAAAAACGCACTTTTTGGAAATTATGTAAAATTCTTGAGTTGATTGTAGGTACAGATGGAAGAGTAAGATCAGCAAAGATCCAGATAGCAGGTGAAAGGAGTAAGGGTAAAGTATTCAGACGTCCCTTGAAATTACTTGTACTTTTAGAAATTGCATGTAAGGAAGCTAACACAGAAGCAAATCAAGTCAACGCACCTATAGCGCCTGCGCAGCAAGCAGATAGAACTATTACGCGATCTAAGCGCGCAGCTGCAAAGTTAGGAGAGTTTCTTAGAAGAGACAATATGTAAATATTTCAATATGTATATGCTTACAGTTTCAGCTTGTTTAAAGAAAAATGTTCTTACGTTTTGTTGATGAATAATGATTGATTAATATGTATTATTGTAAATTGAGTGCAGGCAACTCAATCGGGGGAGTATGTTGTGAAGTCAATATATTTCGCAACCCACGCGTCGTGGGGGATTCCTACTCGTCCCAGTCTTCTTACGTTATTTATTCACGCCCTATATTGTAAGGTGAAGTTGTTTGAAGTAGTGAAGTTACGATAAAGTCACGCTACAAATTCATGATGGGCTAACAAGTTACGTTTACGTTATAGTTGTTTATAGTCACGTTTTGTATATATTTAAAGATAAAATCAACGATATGGAGTTTCATTCACGTCTACGCTCTACCGAAGCTATGTTCAAAATAATGCAAAAGTACCAGTCAACTGCAAAATAGCTAGCCCAACATCTTCGAAAGCTGCACCCGAGAAATACTTTGCAAGAAAAGAGAAACTGGGCAAAATTAAAAGCGAATGGCAGATTATCGTCTCGGAACTAAAAATATTACGGAAAAGTTAATTACAATGGGAGTTGCTTTTAAAGTGAGTTCAATTTTCAGCTACTGTATTCTTTGCGTCAGTATCTTCTTTCTGGTCCGTCTGACTGCCCTGGACCGGACGGTTCTCTCGCATCTTCGATGTGTGCTCGATAAGTGACAAACAGACGAAGGCCCAATTGAAAAGGTACTGAGCAGGTAAAGAGCCATGCTTTGCGACGGCACCTGGTGGAACATCTGTAAGATAATTCAGAGCACAGTGTCAAAGGGTTAATCAGATTATGAATCTTTGACAAAAAGTCTGATGTTCAATTACTAGTAAATGAGGAGATATTAATATAAAAACCATAAGCTTGAAAGTTCTCCGTTATGTCGGTGATTACATTGCAACTAAACTTAGCTGACTTTTGTGACAAATTGACTATCAAAACCAGAAAAAAGGAAAAAATCTAGAAAGATGAAACAACAATTTGTTTGAAAGATCGATCAGTGTATTGAAAAATCCCCCACCCTCCTTCTTAGCTCATTGAAAGATGAAGTAACTAACTTGATAAGTTTGTAGCAAGCTTTTCTCCATCAAGAGCCAAATTTGAGCTGGCGGTTGGATCAAACGTGCTGATCCAGCTGACTAGATCCGCGTTTACCAGTTGTTTACATGTTGTCCACTCTTCCAATTTGTCTGCCATTTCATCGTCCTCCTTCCCACCGAAGTATATCTCTAAAACAGCTTTAACGATGTCGTGAACAAGCTTGGGTGGATCTTTGTAGCTTTTTATCTCAGCAAAAGCCCTGGAAAAAATGATTATGAATAAAATATGTGTCTATTCCAGAATCATGTTTTGGAAAATGTAATGAAGAGAAGATTACAGTCCATCGTTCTGTTTAAAGGGGCTCGAAGCCATCCAGGCAGAGTTTTGCATACTTATAGGTTCAGGACGTCTCTTAGTTGCAATGCCAAGTTTCACGCTTAACGCAGTAATTACGCAAAGGCAGCAGTTACTTGAAGACTGCATAGAGTTTTCTAACATGTCTCACATTGCTCTAAATTGCTCTACGAGAGCCAAAAAAATTTTGGAACGAACTATGCAGATAAAACTGTTTTCATCTCGTGTTTGGATTCAGTTCGAAAAGGGAAAAAACCAGCTTCTCTAGTAAACAGGAAACCAGACATGTTTCTTCTGTATTCGAATCGATAACCTACGACTTTTGCAAAGGGAATGCTGTAAAATAAACAAACAATCGCGGCTAAAAGACACTTTACCTGGCATCAAGTCTTCCGACATTATCCCTCAAATCCTGCAACATTATTCGATCAAACAACACGTCAATTCTCTTTTCCTGGTGCTCTTTTTCGACCTCTACAAAAGCAAAATCCAACGGTAAGAATAAAGCGGTACTGTGTTACCAATAAGATCTTAATCTTTGGTATTTGGGACGGTTTATGATTGGCAGCCACATATATTTTCACAGTGCCTAACAATAAGACTTCGAAGAACTTTACCGAGTCACGATTTCACTTTTACGGAAATTTAGAATTCTTCTCAGGAAACAGTGACTACGATAAGAAAGTAGGGAAGAGACAAACGTTATCAAGAGGTTTCTTTAACAAAAATTTGCTAATTCTTTTTTACATTTGGCGATGTGTCGATTTTTTTAGGAGTACCGTTTGGTGTAATAGTCAACCAGCTGCTTGTACAAAGCCAAACAATTCTTTTTCAAATATGAGGAAAAAGTTCTCAATTTGACGTTTCTTCGTACAATTCCAACTTTTAAAAAAAATGTTATATTGACGTTGAGTTCATTGTGTGGTTTTGAGCAAAGTCTGTCATGAAAATCTAAATATAATTCAAAGAAATAAAAAAGTGAATCTAAAAATCGAAACACATAAGCGGGTATTTTTCTTTATGCATAGACACGATATGTTGTTCCTGGCAATTAAACAGATGTGCTAACGTGCTAGTCCTAAAAACACAGACAATACTTCCTTTAAACGCATCGATGAGTTAGGAACTAATGAAATGGAAAACGAACCAAGCACAATGTTTTTCTCCTCCCCAGCGATCTCTCTCGAAACTTCTTTGTGCGCCATCGCAAGCAACTTCAGCATGCGATGAATCTCCTTGCTCTCGTGAAGCGGCAGCTGTTTTTGATCACCAATGCTGATGTCCACAATAGCTACTGCCATGCCTTCAGCATCGCGGAGCGGGAATGCGGTGTGTCGCTCACCGTAAGCGTCAGCAGTCAGTGTCTCCGAAGTGTCAATGCATTTGAAGAGGTAATCTCTAAAGAAATAGAGTAGTAATAGAGTAGGATGTTGCTTCCTGATATAGGCCCTTTGTGCCTATATCATATACTGAAGATTTAGGCCCTTTGTGCACGATAACGCATTCCAATGATCATGCCGTAGTGGCCTTCCGTTAAACTAGAAGTCCCTGATGAATACTGTATGATCAGGTTAAAGTGATAATGGAACTAGACAAAAAAGCAGAGAAATGGGTTGACGATAAAACGCTCTGTAGCTGCGACCAATACAATTCGGATGCAGTTGCGAAAAGGCTACTCATGCTATGTGGATGAAAAAGGTGTCGTGTAAACAGGCTTTCAAGGTGGCACCAAAAATAATGAATGAGGATCGAGACATTTCAATGCAACTTTAAAACATCTACAATGATACCTTTCAGTTTTACTTGACTCTTTACGTATCTTTAGTAGCACCCCCTCTCCCCCCAGTATAATATCATCTTTTATTTCTTATTTCAGGAGTCACATCAAGTAGCAAAGTAACAAATATTGCTTTTGTGGCAAAGGTGGGGCGCGGAATATTTCTACTGGAAAGGTGATTTTGCCGAAATGAAAAGTACGAAATTTTACTGAAAAGTAAAAAGGGTATTAAGGTACCAAGTTACCTAAATATAAATTAGAAATTTTCCTGAAATGTGAAAAGGTGTTCAAATGAATTTAGGCAATGAATATAGACTTAAACACTTCAAGACAACAAAGATTAACAGAAAAACCTGTAAATAACTCTAATTAGGTAATAAAGGTTCTAAACCTGAATAAATTGTCCTTCCTCTCCAACCGTGGTGGACTTTCGTATTTCGTGTCGTTGTGATTCTGTCGCAGTGTCGCCATTTTGCGCAATACCAAACCGTCAGATGCCTGAAATTTAGTAACATGTCGTGATCCAGAAACTTGCCTTAAAAAAGCATTCATCAAAATTGCTTTCGCTAGAGCTAACAAACTTCGTGTACATTAATGTAGGCAATTTATGTAATGCAATTATTTGAGCAAAGCGGTCTCTAAAATGAGAAAGAAACAAAACTATATTTTTGAAATCCAAATTCCTCTTTTAAGGATTATTTCTTCTGCAGTAGACATTTGGAGTAGTGATTGAGCTAAGAGTTAAGAGGCATAATCAAAAAGGCTTAACAAAAACATGGCAAAGCAAAAATGGTTGGGTTCCTTCCAGCTGCAATTGAAAACAGTGTGCCTATCTACTAAGAGTAATTCCTGACTTTTCAACAATGCTTTTGTTTTCTTATAATGTGCATAAAAAGGATATTGCATATAATAAAACGCAATTAGATGGAATCCATCAAACAAACACCTCGCTGAGATTAGTCATACCTTTGTCCCAGGCTCCACTAAGTATATGTTAACCTCTTTCACGTTCTGGCTTCTTCTAAGGATCCATGAAACTGCTGACTCGGCGATTTTAATCGTTTTTCGTCGGGAATCAATGAATTGAATGGCAGAACTTAATCCTTTAGCTAGACCCTGCAAAGAAAAAGAAAAAAGCGTATAGTTTTCAGGACTGTGTTACACTTGTCTATAAATTTTATCAGTTTTTCAAAACGAAAAATCAGGAATCAATAGAGCATTGCGGGTTTTTTCTGAAATTTTGAAACTGGCATTAAATGCAAACATTCGATTGAACTAATAATAACATTGATATACAGTATGCCATGTTTCCGCCATTTTGTGCCATCTTAAGATTATCTACAATAACTACCATATCGTGACGTATACTGTCTTCATTCATTATCGAATGAGGTCGTTTATTTCAGCACAAACGCAAACAGAGAGAAGCCATTTCCTACCTGGTAAAATGAGATCTCGTGTGTGACAAAGACGGACTTCTCGTGAGGGTCAGGGAGGGTGTCGATCCCCATGACCCCTGTTACCCTCTTCTCGTTATCTTTCAGCGGCAACATGACCAAAGATCCTTCAATACCCTGCAAGTACAAAATATTTTATCCGTGAACAAAGGATTGGGGAGGGGGCAGTGTATTATGTTAGAGCTTCAAGGTAATAGACCTTTGAAGAAAGAATTGAAAACCTACAACAGATTCGAGCAGCAAATCCTTAGAATATCATATCTAGTTGTAAAAACACATCAAACTTGCTGAATAAAGTTTTAGAAATAAATTGCGATTATTAATAAAAGTGCATTAAGATCTACCTCTTCTTTCCTTGCAGAATTCCACATATGTACACCTCCATTATGAAGAACCCGTGGAACGTGAATAGGCTTGCCTGAATCGACAACAGTGAAGCTAACACACTTCATATCCCTGTAAAGTGTTTTATCCAAAACATACGGCACATCTTCCGTCGTGCAAGAAACATACTTCAAGCAGTTTACACCAGCGCGGTTCGATTTCGCTGGATCATTCGGCTCGACAAACGCAACATGGGCGGCAATCTTCTTGTTGCGACCATGCACCTCAGCATCTTTGTAAAGAGCCAGATATATGGTCTTGAAGACAGGTTCGAGCATTGCGCCAGACATGCGGGCACTGTTTTCAACCGCAAGAAGCCATTTCTTTCGAAAATCTCCGCGTTTTCTTTCTTCAAATGAACGCTGTTTGATTCGAAAAAGGGAAACTTGCAAATCACACCGGAAAAAAGCTATGAACAAAGATTATATCAAGCAGATAAATTCATCGTTCGCAGTACACTCCATTGAAAAATTTCAATATTTTAAAAATATTTTTGAGTGTGACAATATTTCATAACAGAGAAATGAAAAAATCTCATATCTAATGATTCAATGAAATGCTGTTAAAGTTTAATTTCAATAGTTTCGCCAGCCACCAATCAATTCTGCGTCACCCAATTTGAAATTACTAAAACGAAATTAAATGCAGAATCATACAAACCTCGACACTTGCAAACAGAAAGGCAATCAGTGAATCGAAGCAGTCTTCATCGGGGAACATCTTGGTTATCTGTTCGATGTATCGCTTGAACATCTTGCGACTAATTCTGCCGTAAGCCTCTTCAAAAACATCCGAAGCTGAAAGCAGCATGACAACTATCTCGTGATTTGATTCAAGAAAATTCCTAAGCACCATTTTAAGTCTACTTCACGGTGAAGGATGACATTTTTCAAAAGAGAAAAGAGGGCTGTCGCCAAAATATCTCAAAGTCAGTTGCAGAAATATAAAAAATTCTGGCATCAACAGACCAAGAGCCCTGCCAAACCGTCCTAATCCTTAGTCCTTAACCCCCGGTCTGTTTACATAATTTCAACTGTCTGTTATAGACTTTTTCACTACGAAATTCATTATTATACTTATACCTATTATTATATCATAACCATTTAAATTGTTTCAGATTGTAGCACGTATCTTAAAAATCAATAGGTGTCATAAAATTCAACCAAACGGCTAAGTGTAAAAACCCCAAAAATTAACGTATATTGTAATAAAAGTTAAATGCATGAATACAATTTACTGTTATACCCAGCCGATCTCTTGGGGAAGTTTAATGATTCGAACAAAAGTTTAAATATAAAATGCCAATTTAAACACAATGACACAATACTGCCACAAACATCTTGGAAGCATTCAGCAGCGTTTTCTGGTTTTGAAAACTATCCACAAAAAATAGCAAAATATTTTTTAATTATATTTTCTATAATTTTTTAAAAGCCTAAAAGGTATTTGGCTTAAATTCAGACACATTAATCACCTTCATTGTGAGAACTTTATAAATTAATGTTTCGTTCCTGCAAACAGGAGCTTTTGCGTCATTTAGTTTTTTCAAAAGGACCTACAAATATTAGCACAATAGCCTGATATACTGTGTAAATATTTGCATCTTTATTTCATTGCTCATATAACCATTATTCGGTAATCTTTGAAGTAGGGTTTCCTAAAAACCTGAAAAAGGATCACCTTGTGGGAACATTTTCATGCCATCTTCCCTCCATTTGGACAGCACCATTTCTATTTCCGTCATTTCCAAATACCCAGAGCCATCAACATCCCAAAGGTCGAACAACTGGTCAATCAGATGGCGCCGTTTTGCTGAACGAGCTTCGACACGTGCCTATGAAGCAAAGCATGGCATTATGGACAATGAAAGAAAGTGAGGGGCAGGGCTTAAAAAAGCATAACACGAGTAGCAGATTTAAGAGTAGAATATGAATCCAAATGTCGTAATATTGCGGATACAGATCTACATAGTTAGCTCGCTCAAGGATACCCTGCCACACAGGCTTTTCAAATCAAGCTGTGAAGATTCGATGCCACGAAAATCCTAAGCAATCCAGCTCTAAAGATTTATTGGTACGAAAATCTTAAAGCAATCCAGCTCTGAAGATTCACTTTGATACAAACCTTTTCTAATCGAGCCATCCTTTCTTCTTCTGTCTCGATATAGCCTGCTCTTACATAGCGAACCAGGGTCTCTATTGCAGTCCTGTACAAAAATATCAATGGAAATATACAGGCTTGTATGCAAGAACAAAAAAGACTTGATTGAATTCAACCATTTACAGATGTGACTAAAATTGACGCCATAGGATGGCAACTTTGAACTCTATATTTTTCTTGAAGAACTGAATAGACAAAAAGCACACGAAGAGTGAAAAAATGCTTTATAAATTTTTGGTATTTCATACTTTTATCTCGATTAAGATAACAACTAAGATAATAAAGTCTATTTGCCGAGAAAAGAACAATTTTACCTCGACGAGAGCTCTCCTAAAAATTTTTCAAGCAAGTTAATAAACTGTGCTTGATTTAGTGTGGTTGGATCAAATATGGAGCCAGTGGCCACTGACTGCGCTCTGGATGATTTGACTGGGGATTCTGAGGAACCCATTGCTGTAAAGAAGAAAGTAGACGATTGTAGAGAATCAGGAATCAACGAATCACCTGAATCGATTAATCAAAAATTAGTCAGTCGGGATCTCATCAACGAAAGAAAGGTTTCACAAATACATAGCACATGTGAAATTATCAAGTAAAAGTAACAAGCAAATTAAAAACTTATCAAGGTTTTAAAATGCAAATACCTGTCGAGTTTCCGTCAATAATCTCTCTGATTTCTTGTTCCATTTTCTCGCTTACTTTGACGGCGTCTGTCGACTTTGAAGCCTTAACACCTGACAAAGCGTAAAGATAAACAATTATACAAAATACACCTAAACCCACGTGAATATACTCGCATACATTAATAGAGCGCTGTAATATAAAGTAATTTGATATCAAAACTGGGAATCTCAACAGGAGGATAGAGTCAAAAACATTTCGTTCTGATAGAGACAGAAAACTTTGAGTTTTTGGAATATACACTTTTAAAAAGCAAATTGAAACAGGATGCTCTAGCTAGTGGGGCAAAAGATGACGAAAAAGAGAATATTGAGGCGAAGTTGATGTCGGGTTAAAGGACAAAGACAGACTTTTAGATGATTTTGATGATTAATTTGAATAAAAATGCTTTCCAATCGCCATATGAAACTTCCGCTTTCATTATTTTCGATGGCAAGATGATTTTAATGTAGGAAAAATAAAGTTTTTAGTTGCAGCACCTCGAGCGTTAGATTTTGCTTATTAATAATTTGAACAGTTTTTTGACGGTACAGAACTTGAAAATAGCCTTGAAAAAAGCAAATACTTCACAACATACTGGCTAAAAGCTTTTTTGACACTCCTCAGAGCATAAAACGTCAAAATAAGGGTCGAAGGAACACCAGGAAAAATATATACCCAGTTGTGGATGCAATTAGGCCAATCAGAAAAACGCAAGCACAAGACCGGTATATTGCCCAGTCAGTGCCGCGTGCCTATTGAAAAATTACCACTGGAGTCCAAGAGAGAAAACAAACTCCTTCTGTCTAAACAATGGCGGCTTTTTCGTTTGTATAGATCGATTCCAAAACTGCTAGATGAAAAGACAACTTGGATCTGTCAGTTATCTGAAATATATCGTAACTATAGAGTTTTGCACAATCTGGGTTGTCTAAGTGAATTACCAAAAAAGCATATTTTCAATTTCTCGGATAATTCTCTCTCTGGTCTTGATTTAGGTAATGGTCTTGATTTTTGTGTCCCACCCACAACAATCAACAGAATTTGAAATTTGACATGCTCAATTTGCTAAACATGAGGTTTCGAACTCTTTGGAATTTGACAAATCATGAGCTCGACTAAGCGATTTGGCTCCAAATTAAGTCAACCAGCTTAAACAAGGACGGCTTGAAATGAAGAAACAAAATTGGTATCATACAAGTGTTCTTATAATTCTGACAAAGGTTATAAGTGCAAAGTCAGTAAGATTCTCACCTTTCGTTTCCTGTACATTGTCTTGATCCGATACTGCTTCATTTGCATTGTTTCCTTTCACTTCCTTCTCAGAATTCGCATTATCTCCAATTTTTGTGTCACTGCCATCAACAACAGCGCTCCCATTGTCGTTCTCTTTTGATTCGTTGCTAGCAACCATCGTTTTCTCTTTATATTTTTCTTTCGATTCACTACCCTCAATGACAGTGCCCCCGTTTTCACTTTCTTTCGACTCACTAATCCCAACAACTGTGCCTCCATTCTCGTTTTCTTTGTAATCATTTTCGTTCACTTCTCCTTGTTTTAATGACGTAGCTTCTTTTCCTTGCTCTTCAAATGCACTATCTTCCACAGCCAGATCTTCTTCTTCAATGATGTCATCAATGTTCTCATCCTGTTCATCAAAGTCGATCACAGGCCCTTTAGAACATAAAAAAATCATTTTACCATTTTCAATTAAATTCAGTTATCAATCTGGTTTCAATATATAATTTCTAAGTAAATGAAATGATTTTCTTTAGTGTAATGTCCTTAAAGTCATATTCTTTATATCATTCAATTAATGTCGTGAAATAAATGCAAAACATTTAATAAAAATTTTCCATCTTAATTTGTCTTCGATAACATACTTACATTGGCGAGGGTTTCTCAGTGTCGATTTTATTGTTGGATTCTTTGAATTGTCGTAAAATGTTTCTAGTAGCTTGAGAACACGTTTGCGATCAAGAAGTCCGGTCTAAAGGAAATGGCAAATATGAAATCTTGGAATGTAGCTCAAGCTGCAATTATACAAAATTTAGAAACCAATAAAGACAAAACTCACTCGTTGCATTGAATAATATCAAAGGGAAAGTCTTTGTGCAAAAAAAATATTATTTAAGGAATCCCAAGAATGTGCGATGGAGGATAAAAAAAGAAGACTAATTGCAAAGCCAGCAAAGAAAGGAAAAGTTCCCTTTTTCAGTCTATTTTCAGCTTGATTTGATCCATAACTTGATATAATCTTTTGAACAGAATCTAGTTTTTTACAATTTCATAATTCCTGGTTGGAAAGCCCCTTTAAATATGCTTTAGTCTCATTCTGTTTTCTATCATAGTATTTGAAAGTGCTTTACAACGACTATTCAGATAAATTGGTAATAAAACTTACGTCTCCATGGTCACAAGAGATGAATAGGTTCGCCAGTATCAGCCTACGGCAAACAAAGAAAGATATTAGCAACGAAGCTGAAAAAGCCAAAATGCAGAGCAAAACAATACGATGGTAAAATGAACGCTACCATGGTTGTGAGTAAGATAATTTTATAAATAAACTGCAGTATGAAATGAATGTCTTGGTTTTGAAAGAGTTCTACAGACGTGAAACAATTCTTTTGTTTGGGACACGGCATAAGAAAACACGAGGAGCTTTATATGAAGAATTAATGGTAAAAGGCTTGTTGATGTTGGAAAAAGAGGGGCAAGGTCTAGTACAAGGAGACCTTTCTAGGTGACATGTCTCTACCGAAAAGTGACAGAATTTTACTTCCCTTACCATTTGGAGACATTTTTGAAAATTTTCTTTTCATCAACCATAGATATCCGCAGGTATCTTACAGCTGCATTGTCTGCTGAGGAGCAGGGTTTCTCCAAAATGGGAATTGTAACAGAAGAAGAACAGAGGTTACAGAAGCAGAGAAGAGAGACAGAAGGTGATCTGACAAACTATCGAAATAATGTGTAAGAAGGAAAAAAGTAGGGTAGTCAGCCGCCGGGTTCTATGAATCTTGCAATGAGTAGAAAAACGAAACAGAGTCAGGAGCAAAACAATACGATGACGAGAATCCAATACAATAAGAAAGCACAAAAATACAAGATAACGCAAAAATCATGGCAATTTCTTTTATTTCTAAATAAGAATCAGCAATTGATGATAATTACAAAAGTAAAGTCATAGAAGCTGACACCTTACCGTATGGATTCCATTTGGGCAGACATCTTGTATTCTGTTGCTAAATGGCCCATGTGCTTCAGAAATTCCGCAAAAATGTCTTCTGCAAAATCGCTTGTCTGTCCACTCACATACTTTTGAAATAAATAAATAATCATAATAAAATGAACAACATTGAAAGTAGAATTTATCAGCAAAAAAGCGCTGAAATAAAGTTTGTTGGGAGTTTTGTAAGAACGTGGCCAAATTTCTTTAAATTTGTGTTAATTTTGATGATTTGATGGTTCTTTGATTTAATCGTTTATTCCAAAAATTACTGGCAAGTTGGCCCCCTCATAGCCCTCTTTACACTTACTCCCACTATTAACCAAAATTCAAAATAAAATTGCTTAAGAGTATAAGACCTATTGAAAGATCATTAACTGATATACATGACAACACTGATCTACGTCCCTAACATAACTGTATCAGATGTTTAGCCCTCTTAACGAACATATATTCCATCATAAATTTGAATGTGTAAGTCCATCTTCTATCTGTATTGCATGTATTGTGGGTAATGAGCCTCTTCACTTTCTCATCAAATGCGTAATGACTTCTTTGGCAAACTCTTAGATATTCCTGGATTTAGACTTGACAACTTGAACTCTAAAGGTCTCATTGACTTCTTCTCGATGGTGATACCAAGTACAACCAACGTGCAAATGAGCTCTGCTATAGGACGCTACAAACTCCTATATTTTTTAGACAAAGCCACTAAATTGAGTTTTTGCAAGATAGGTAGTATACAACACTCCACCTGTTAATTTCATGTGTTTATATTAACTGTGGTTGAATTCTAGAATAGCAAAGTAAGTACTGCATTCACGGAAACCAAATGAAATACGGTCTTTTCATGCTGCATGCAGCAAAATAGATCCTTATTTATTCTTCTTGTTGTAGTTATGTTTTTATTGCCATAAAAATTTGAAGAATGCTAGCAAACTACGACAATTACAAAAGTACATTCAAATCTATGACTCACAGAAGCAAATCAATTTTTACCTTAAGAAACTCTTTCAAAGAAAAAGTCTTCCCTGTCAAATCAGTTTCTCCGATTTCTTCAGAATATTTCACAACTGCTCAATGAATTAAAAATTGAATAATTAATTTGGATTTACAAAATACTGAAAAATTCAAAGATAAACAGTAACTGAATAAATAACAATGCTCATTTGAAGATAAAAGAGTGGTTAGGCGATTCATAAAATATTAATGCAGTCAGCTAAGAAAAAGGTGATTCTCAGTTAAACAAGTGGCATGGAAAAGGGAAACAATTAGCAATAATCTAAGCTATTTGTGTGAATTATTCCTTGATTTAAATGCAGAATAGGAAATTTAAAAACAATTCTTGGCACTTGAAACCAGATATCAACCTACAAACTGCAGCCAATTGGCCTTCTGATTTGTTCAGTTCCTGTTAATAGGATTTGAGTAAAAAAAAATTGGCCTTGAGTTCTAATTCTCATAAATATAAAGCAATTTCGAGATTTTCTATGCCAAACATATTAAAAACATAGAGAGGTAAAATACTTATTTTCATGTTTTGTAAAATTGTTCATTTTATCTTTTTATCAAAAAGTTTACCAAGGAACCCTAAAACTCAGCTGATTGCTAGGAAGGGATATCAAGATGGTTTGAACTGATTTCTCTCCAACAGCAACATTGAAAATCCATGAATGAAACTGCTTCATATTTACCATTTTCTCCTTTCATTTGATTTATGTAATCTTCAAAAGACCGCAAAGCACTCTGGACCTGGTTCAAGAAATAAAAACAACATCAGCCACTGGTAATAGGAGAACAGTGCCCAAGTACTTTGAAACCTTTTTGGAAGACATCCCAAGTTGACTTAGATGGTAATTTCCAGAATTTTGCGGTTATTCTGAAAATTCATTTTTAACTGACGTATTTCATTGAGCTTCATTTGTTTGAGTCTATATGCTCTTTCTCTAGTTATTAAGTTAGCTAATTAAGATATTTTTTTGATGTCCTTTAATTTGATATCGTGTTGTAAAGTGTCATCCATGAACTTATGCAAGAATGCATGAAATGGAAGCAGCAATGGCGGACACTTGGGTGGGGCGAGGGGGGTGACCCCAATACTTTAGAGGACAATGGTCTTTTGTTCTAAAACAATGGGAAATGTGATGTCATCTTATTAAAACAATAGGCTTGCCCCCCCCCCAATATTTGATCAAGTGTCCGCTCCTGGGAAGCAGCATCATTAGAACAATTTCCCCTGTCTATTAAGCCACTCACAATGATATCTGGAAAATAAGCCTTCCTGGATGGGCTGAATACAGGACTTACAAAATTTACAGAGTAGAGAAGCCCATTTGCACAAAACAGGCATTTCCAACTATATTTCAATTCCTCCTACTATAAACACTTAAAAAGGGGAACATATTTTCACCTTTTTACAGATATAGAGATGATTACACTGCCAAATCATTTTCGATAAAATTCGTATATCTACGTTTAAAAACATAGGCATTCGAGCAGTTTCTTCATTCCATTCAATAGTAGAAAGATTTCTAGAATGTTGCAATGAAAATCATACGTACAAGGTGCAAAAAGATAACTCCATTTTTATCTTCAACCCACTGCAAAAACAGCTCATGTAGTGCTTCATTTCGACCTTTAACAATTGTAAGATTAAGTTTTTCCATTCTCTCCCGTTCATCTTTCCTCCTTTTTGCTTCCATTTTCATTTTAGCCAACTTATTCTCTTCTTGGTTGTAAGCCTCTTTCTTTAAATCATCCAGAAGTTTTCTAATTCCCCTTGCATAAGGTGAAGCTTCAGCAAAATTGCTGTACCTCGGATTATTTCGCATGAGATATTGAGCAAGGTAATTTATTGGATTAAAATCCTTCACAGGCTCTTCAGTATCAATAAGTCCTTTTTTCTCTGCAACTGTCAACAGTTTTTCGACTCCAAGAACAAGAGTTGGGATGAGTTTGTCTAAAAGGTAAGATCTTTGTTCAATTGATACGTTAGCAACGTCGAGCCATTCTTTAGCCAATATATCAAATGGAACTCGTCTAGCAACAATTTCGTTAATTTCATTCTCAGCTTTTAAATCTCTGTTTCGTTTTGCATTTCTAAGGTTCGTTATTTTGTTATTGATGATCGTTTCATGTTGGTTCCTCCAATGTTTTGCTGCTTTGAATACCATCTTTGCTTGCACTGGTGTAAGAGGACGTAATACTGGTGAAGACGTCGAAGGGATTCTATCAGCTGATGACTTTGCTGAGAGCAAGTTAGCAGCCTTGATTTCGGGGGAAGGGGACGTCATATCGATTGTTCCTCTCCCAACTTCACACTACGTGCACTTTCTCTTATCCGAAAAATTTATGTTCCCCAGTTCAGGCTTGCATACTGAGTTAACTCACATCAGTATACCAGTGAACAGTCTCATGCCTGTTTATTTCTCCTGAATATTCACTAGTGTATCAATTTTAATTTGACTGCATGCATGATCGCGGCATATTATCAGTTGCTCAATTTATGCCTCCGTTTCCATCGCAACAGTGCCTCTACATGATAACAAGACTGTTGATGAAATCGAGTCTATGATGGCAATGCTGACAAAATGGCGGCATGCTTAAGATCCGTAAGGCACCTTTCCTCTAGAGAATTGTTGGGTTTTCAGATAGGAGGCAGACTGCCTATCGTAAGAATACTTTCAAATGCTGTGAACGTAGATCTAGGCAAAAAGTCTGGACGGGAGAATGTGAATCTCTTTGAATGTTATTTCAAGAGAAGCATCAAGGAGGAGCAAAATGTCATCAAAACTGAAATAGAAGACTTAACAACTCGAATGGAAAAGGAAAGATTGAAAACTATATCAAAATATACAGAAACCGAATTGAAGCAAGGATTATGGACTGAAAATTCTAGAAGAGCCGGTCTTGTTGGCAAAAAACTTGGAATGACTCAATTATGGAGAAAAGATGGCCGTCCTGTTAGAGTTACCCTCGTGCAGGTTCTGGAAAGTTTTATGAAAATATATGGATGGATTTGTTTACAGTTTATTTGTTTTTGTCCTTAAATTCATACACCAGCTGCAAAGTGTCTCTGTTTTGTGCTACACTGGCGATAAAAGCCCAGTCTGCAGAGCAGGGGCGTTGATTGAGGGGGGTGGTGGTGGTTAGGATGGGATAAAGATCTGGGGCCCGTGCTCCGATGGGGCCCCGGATCCAGTTTTGAGGGTCCAGTTTTGTGAATCACCTCTGGGCCCAAGCTGGCTTTCGACGGCCCTGCTGCAGAGTATAAAAAGCCCATTCTCTGTTCTTGGGCTAATACTGGGAATGCTGAATACTTTGTCAGACGCGTGCACAAGGTCTCAGAGTGGAATCCATATGAAGCTCACACCAGATGTGCGCCAATTAGCAATAGAAATACAATGGAAAACCAATAGTCCGTATGCTCGATATCTACAGCCTAAACTACATAGCTTCCACACTGGGGGAGGTCAGGATAGTGCTGCATGTCTAAGTTTTTTGATTGCACACTAAATTTACTATAGGGCTATTAAAAACTTATATTTGCACGCCAAATGAATAGTAAAGAGAGGTTTGCTTGCAAAAGAAATTACATGAATAAGTATTGATCTTGTTGAAAACTGCCATACTCTGCAGGAGAAAGCTAGACCCAATGTTAACTTTGTCACTGGTTGGCCAGAGATGTAGCTCTAGGGTGGACTTGAGTTTGTTCTCCTGCTAGAGACTTACATTTGATTATTTTTGTAATTAATACTAAAACACTGAATCTTATTTCCAGGTGTCTTACAGTTTGTTGAGAACGGTAGTTCTATATATGATAATGTGTGCTTACTGTCTTTTTAGCCTCATTTTCCTCTTGCAAACTTCTCTTTTTCATTCATATGCCATGTAGGCATATGTTTCTCCACAAAATTGCTTTTGTTAATTTGTTTTGCAATTTCAAATTTTCATGTTAAAAATTACTCCAACCTCTTGGGTGCATCTGCTGTACTCTACAGACTGGGGTGCCTCATGCATTAATTTTTAGGGTGTCTAAAGAACCATATGTAAATTTTTAGCCCGTTAACTTCTGCTCTGATGAAGCCCCATATGCCGGGGTGAAATATTAGCCTTTACTGATTTACGTGTTTTATTGTTGTTTATTCTCGACGTATTGCGGTGTTTCATATTTGCTACATTTTTATCGAACTTTTTGCCGCAAGAACTCCTTGGAGCCCATCGAGCAGCCTGCTACAGTGGCCTTTTCTTCATTCACACATAAAGAACCATACCCTTATTTGGAGTTAAATGTGTTTAGCACACTTTGCTAAACACTTTAGCAAAATTTGCTGACCATGGAAAATTCTTTTGGTGAACAATGTTAATTCAAGGAAAATATATTTAATGTATCAATATTATAAATTTAATGTAACTGCATTCTTCCAAAAACTGTTGATGCTTTCTAATTTCAATTGCAGAATGTATGAAGTATGTGGAAATACAAAATTTTGTTTCATACTGTTAATGACAGATGAGTGGGGATGTTGCATTACTTAGTGGCAATTTAATGTTGATTTAAAAGTCATACAAGTTTGCAACAAAGAATATTATTGCTTAAGGAGTTTTATTATTTATTTGGTTAACAGTTTTTAAGCATAGTTGAAATTTAGTATATAGTTGGAATACTAAGATGTGAAAGTACAAGTTTCCAATGAGAGAATAGTTCTTTTTTCATTTCTTGCTTAAAGGTGAAAGATAATCAGGTCCTTGATTCAAGAATTGGAGTAGCAGATGGTGGCAGTAATCATCATACAGAAATCATTGTTGGTGGATACAATGAAGAAAATCTTGATGAGGCATGTACCAATAGTTTATACCCCTGATTCAAATGTGAAAACCAACAAGATATTTTGTCTTATATAAGATATTATATAGAGACAATCAAAATGTTATATTGTTTAAACCATTCTATGTTTTTTAAACTTGAATCTTGTGGTTCACAATATTTTGTGATACTTATAGCCAATCTGGTTCTGGTAAAAATTTCAAAAATGTCTGAAAAGCTGTTTATGTCCTAAACCAAGATTGTATGCTAAGTACCATTCCCGAATTTTTCAAAATACCCCCTGAAAATATGGTGGTTTAGTTACACTATGAAGGAAATAATTTCCCAACCATGTTTTGTTTAATGATTTACAGCTTTCAGAGGGAGATTTTGGTCAATATGTTTCACATAACGTCACACCCAAAAAGAAATTGAGAGGTTTTCCTGTCACACAAGATGCATTAATGCCAAGTGGTAAGTCTTGATGTAAATCATACAATCAGATCTTTGTACTGATCACTTTACAAGTTAATTGATTTTTAAGATAGATGGTAGATGCTTGATGTAAGTAAAAGTATTTCAAATTTCAAATTGTAAAAAAGCAAGGAACAAATAGTGTGATTTTTTTCCAAATTTATTTTCTAGTGCAGGTTTTTTCTTGGGATTTTCATTTCACACGGGAAATAGCCCTCGCCACACCGTCACCAAATTATTGAGGCAGGCTATTGACCACCCATGCAGAAACATGTATTGTCTGCAAAAGAAAGGTAGAGCACTAGGGAAAAGTTAGCAACAAATATCACTATGTCGTCGCCATTATTTCATTCACAACTCGTGATGTTGTCAGGAATCTTCCTCAAGATCTTTTAGCTAAAATTTTTTTAGAATGTGAGTGCTATCAAAGTGGGGCTATCAAGGCGGGAAGAAATCCCATCTTTCTGGTCATTTTTAGCCAAAATTGATAGGACCTTTATTCAATGATGTTTCCACAAATCCTTAAAATTTTATAAAAATTCCATATTCCATGCATCTTTTTCGAGAAAACCTGCATCTGACAATTGTGTAAAATTTGGTCATTCTATCCAGAAATTGCCAGATTTCTGTAATCCTCAACAAATTTGCTTAAAAGTCCATTGTTTTGTAAACCTTTATGACCCCAACATTGAATGTTGTTTTCTCAAAAGCAGGAACAATAAATATTGATGATAAGGGAAAATGATCAATCTGAAAACATAGATAGTGCAATTAGAGAGGAAGAGGGAGAATTTTTCAACAAGTTGGAATCTAATTGTGATTCATACACTGAAGAAAAAATTTAAGAAGTCAAATTTCTAGATGGTTATTTTGATTGATTCCAAGTTTTATGTTTTTAGTTAGCTTGTCAAACTTAACATATTTTCTTTTTGTCCATGTCTTAAAGTTACCGCATTCCTGAAGGAAAGGTTAAGTTTTTGATGAAAACAAAGCATAATTTCCTCATTGTTGACATTATTAATCATTACATCAAATATTTTGGTTACAAACTGGCAGTAATCATGCATTTAGAAATCTAAGGTTAGTCTGTCATGGGTAGATAATACCTCAAGTCCCCCTCAGGTCCTGAAGGACATGGTTTAACAAATATTGTAAAATCTTCATGAAAAGGCCTGATACTATTGTACTCCTCAACTTGTAAAGCTTGCTCCCAGAACTTATCATGCAAGCAGTCAATTGCATACCACAGACAGGGGTAGCGTGTGAAGATAATTTGGTTTCATCTTTGCAATACAAAACTTTTCCTTTGAAATGCCATAGTGACATAAATATTTTTAGTTGAGCTTTAATACTTTAGTTAGTTTATTCAAATATTTAAAAATATCAAAGTTGAACTGATTAAATTTAAGGGTAAAGTGGGAAAAATTTGAACCAGGACAGCCAGAAAAGATGGTCAATCTTTGTCAGTTTTGTTTGGTCAGAAAATTGAAGAGCTTCAATATTTATGCATTTAGCTACTTTTAGAAGCTCTGCTACAACTCAAGATCTCTTTAGGTTGGCTCAGTTGTTAGAGGTGCTGACTACAGACCCAAGGGTCCATTGTCAAGAGTCTCTGGCATGACCAAACTTTCACCCAGAGTGAGGAGAGTCACCAGCTCTCTGTAATTCCAGGCATAGGAATCAAGAGGTGTGATCAAATCAAGAGAAAGGACCAGGACACTGCTTGATTAGCATAAGCTTCTTAGTGTCCCAAAAACTACCTTAGGATGCTAGGTTAAACAAGTACAAATGCAAAGAGGTTGACTATATTTTTCAGTGTGGGATTTTAAAACCTTTGCACAGTAGCAAGTCACAATAAGCTCTAAAGTTGAAAGAACTTCTGACACAATCAAGAATTTTTTTGGGGTTTGTCATCAATGTACTTTTACAAATTTATTAAAAATTTGGAAATGTTTTGGAACTCATCACTTTGGTCAGATAGGGAAAAGATACAGTAATAGAGCAATCCCTTAAAATATATTTAAAACTAGGACAGTGAAAGAACATTTGAGTTTGCAAAGGAAAAGAAAATAAATTTGCAGCATTTTTTCCTTTACAACAAATTGTTGAATGGGAATCAATCGAACAGGCAGCCCCCACCCTTCCAAATATAAGTTTTGTTCTTACAACTCTGCTTGCAGAACAAATTTTTTTTCATTATTTATCATAATACTTTCATATTTGTAGGTACTCAACTCCATGCTGCACATTTTGTCCCTGGACAGTATGTGAGGGTAGTTGGAATAAGGTAGTATTTTATTTCACTATTTATACATCTTCTCCATCCTTTTTTGCCTATAAAGATTTTGAGTGCGACTTTGAGACTTTGCATGGTTTTTTTGCTAGTTGTCTTTCATTTGAAATTTGAATTTCTTTAAGCAAACTTGCTAATTAAAGTTTATAATGTTATCAGTTGTTGTTAACTGTGTAAGTCCTTTGCATCAAGTATCCCTAAATGTAAGAATCTTTAATGGCAGCAGTAAGGGTTTTTTGATAACCTCAATTATAACATAATTTCTCCCCAAATTATTCTTCAAGTTAAGTTTTGCCACTGCCAAAAAAGCCCAAACACCCCTCTCTCCCCTACATAAAAGCTCTCTAGTCCAAGAAAATATTCACCTCCTGGTAACCCAATTGGTCCAAAAGAAGTTTCTTGGACTGTGTGAAGACAGTGGCAAAACCTTTAAATAAGCCATCAAAGGCTAAACACTTCCAACATTCTTCGCTTCCAACAAGTAGCTTCCAACATGTAGGAACCATAATAAACCCAAGTATCCGACATCGAGAGCAAAGAGAATTCCTATTGAACAATGGTAATTTTCAGGCAGTACACAGAGTTTAAAAAGTGCTTATGTTCAATAATTTTTGTTTTTCACATAATTAGTTTAATTTTTTCAGTACAGGCAGTTGATTGAGTCATATCATAGCATCATCAACAAAGTAACATTCTTAACCTAAACTTTTGAAGCTGCTAATAAATGATTCTAGACATTTGCAAAATTATTTTTTTTACTAGCAAAAAGCTAGGATTTCAAGGAGTAATGAAAAGATGGGGCATGAAGGGTCAACCTAGATCACATGGACAGACAAAGACCCATAGAAAAATGGGTGCAACAGGAGGAGGCGGGGTATGTAAAAAAGAACTGTTTTCTTTAGACATAAGAAACTAAACATTTTGAAGAATGATTGTTTCTTTATCTTTTCAAGCTTAATATTTTTATTTTTTCTTATTGCCTGTAAAAGTAAATATGAATCTTTATTTTAGACTCCAGGGAGAATTTTTCCTGGAAAAAAGATGGCAGGCCACACTGGAGGCAACAAAGTATCACTGAGATCTGTCAAGGTATTGTAACTGTTATACTCTTGCATGTACCCAAGCAACTGGAACATACTATACTCATCATGATACTTTTCACAGATATGGGATAAGATTTTTGACAAGGTGTTGATTAAGAATGGTGGCTGTAGTTATGTAGTTCTTTTATGTGGTTCTATTGAGATTATGTGCCTATTGAGGTAGATGCAAAACCCTGATCACTTTGATACTTGATCGTAAAATGCCAATTTCTGTTTTGATTCCTATACATACAATGTATGCTGCTGTGTACTGCTGCCTTTTTTTAATGCCATCTTGAAATACATTTACTTCAATAAATTGACTTTATGAAACTGATTTCAATCTCTGTGTATCAAATTTGCTTGAAATGACTTCTATTTCATTTTCAGCTCTACCGCATCAATACAAAATTCAATGTTCTGTTTATCAGTGGACAGATACCAGGAGCAGAGGGTGACTTTGTCAAAATTCAAGATTCCATGTCCAAGAAGCAAAAGTTTTCATCACCTCCTCCATTTCCAACTTATATTCCTGATCCAGAAAAACCTCTTCCAGAGGACATTTATGCAGAAGAAATTCACCCACTTACAGATGGCTCTTTCACATTCAAAGGAGATGAAGCTTAACCTAATGAAAAATTGTGCATTACAAACCCTCATCTTTTTGCCTCAATTTTTATAAAACTCTCATTATGCCTCTTGACTTTTTAGTGTTCATTTAAGCTGTGAAAATTAAGTCTACCACAAAAAAGTATTTGTATAACAGAAACTTAGCATTTGTTTCACTTATTGATCCTCTATGAAACTGTTTTCAAACAATCTACCACTCAACTATTCAACTCTTCATATATGTGGATAGTAAAGCCGATTCGAGATAAAATTCTGGGTTTTTACTTAATTTTTATTTCGAATAGAGTAAATTTTCTAGATGAAAATTACTTTTGGTTCCAAAAACTGGTGAAAATAAAACATTCTGTTTTCTTTCAAAATTTTGACAGAAAGTTATCTTGTCAACAAAAATGTACACTAGCAAAGCTAAGAATGTCAGCGTTCCATGGACTAGGATTTATATGACAATGGTAGAGAGGGATTAATCTGACTCCTGTAAAGCATGTCTGTATACTCTTTTGGCAAACACTAATGGTTTTGCATGACTTAAGATCCTTTTCCCTTGAATCCATGGAGTTTCTAACACAGAGAATCGGAAAAAACTGAACAGGCATGTCATTGTTAAATGAGTAGGTTGACAGAAACCCTTACCAATGGTTTGTATCATGCATTAAATGCAACTTTTTGGCAACAAGCCCAGAGAAAACTTGACAATTACCAGGAAAAATTTCATGTCAGTCACAGTGATACTTTATACGGATGCAATGTAAGCCAAATATTTGAATCCAATTTAACATTTCAGACTTACATCATGCGAAATTGACTATAGCAACAAAATAAACAACGAAAAAGATCACAAGGGTAGCTTTACATAATATTGCCCTATTCGAAAACTTTTAAATGGAAAAAACAGAGGATATATCACGAAAATTAGGACATTATACATCAGGTGCAAAAGTATGAAAAAAGGTTGTGATACTGGGCTGATATGTTACTTAACAGGAAAATTTTATACTGTTATAAATTTAGTATAAAACATTAGGTATTATTGCATTAAGCTTAAAATGCATTTAGGTATTACGCTGTTTTGAAAATACTGCTTTATTATGGCAAGTGGTGCAATTTTTGAAAAATTGATATCATTAACTTTCTGCTGCAAAATATGATCAGTTTTAAGTAGGTAACGAGTTTGTTTATATAAAATATATCAACAATTTATGGTGCTTTTTGGCTATTTCCATAATGAAAAGTTGAAAGAAAACAAAAAAGGAATATATATAAGCAAATCTACAAATCAAATTGTGATGAACATATGACAAAATAATCCTTTAAAATTTTGTGTATGGAGTATCTACAAGAATGAAAAAAGAAAGATTTGTTTTACATAATGTGAAATTAAGCTTGTCTATCTTTAGTTAGCACTCGGAATATTTTTTCAGTAAAGGTTGGCATTGCATAAGTTGGGATATCCTTGGAAAAAAGAACAAAAATCTGGTGACAGTCAAATTGTGCAGCATACAATTTATAGTCCGTTGCACAAAGATATGTTTGTGTAATGTCATGTTTAAACCTAAAATCTGTGTTCACCATTTCAATGATTTCACTTTCGCCAGATGGGAACAAACTACCAATAACAGATAGATAGAAATCAGTGAGTACTTTGTGGCGTTTTTCTGGTGTCATGATGTGCGAACCACTCATGCTTCCACGTGGGTAGATGCTTGAAAGACATTTTCCATCTTCAGTATTAATAAGGAGAAATCCATTTATTTGATTATCAATGAATGTTGTTGCTGGGAGATTTCTTGGATGAGACCGCAAACATGTTTTCAAAATTTCTATATAAGGTTTCCAATATCTGTTCAAATGATTTTCTAAAACAAATTGTAAGGAAGGCTCTGGACCACAAATAATGCAAACCTCAACTCCTTCGATAATCTCCATGGTCAACAGTCTGTGAGGAATATTTGGACTTCCATGTGGAAGATAAACTGGGAAATCTCTGGCATTTGATGTGGGCACAGATTTTATGAGGTACATTAGCAGCATTGTCTCAATTGGCAACAGCTGCCACCATTTCTCTGTTGCTACTAAAACTTTTCGGTGCACAAGGAGGCATCCAAATTCACTATCGCAAGCTGAAAGCACAAATGCGTCTAAGGTTTCTTGTAACAGCTTCGTTTCATTGCAGATTATGGTATCGACAAACTGTGTTATGTTCCCAAAAGACATTGTCCCTTGCAGAAGGCAATCAATGACACAAAAGCATCTTCTGACTTCTTTCTTAAATCTGTCCACATTTTTTATTTCCTCTAATTCCGATAGGCCCATTATTAGCACCAAAGCGTTAAAAACATTGTCCAAAAAGGTGTTCATTTGCAACTCGCAGGCCTCGGAATCCCTCGAAGTGGCAATAAACTTCAGCGAATCTTTGAATATCTTCCATATTATCTTAGCTTTGCCAGCTCTAGTATTAACGATTTCAACGCCATGATTTCGGGCAAACATATCAATGCCATTGAGAGAACCAACTATTGGAAATGGTAACTGCTTCATGCCCCCGGTCGTCCTCGTAAACACCGGTATACCAGTGTCGGCAGTCAAACAAGAAATCTGGCATATCGTCGTTGTCATCCTAAAAGCCACAAAGACCGGCTTTGCAAAAAAGCGCTAAATTAATTATAAATAACGAGCCCATAAAGCCTGATATGTTATACAGCAAGATAGCAAAGCCATGACATCAACTGGCGTGACAGAGCAACGAGGAAACCAAACTCCTTGCCTCCTCCATGTTGATTCTGCTGCTCCTTAGAATCACAACAACCGAACCTCGTATTCACTTGAACATTGGGGGTAGGGTAAAGGGGCTCAAATCCCGTGATAATTGGGGGCTCATTTTTGTATTTTATTCTCCATCAGTAATTATAAATCAAAACAAATAAATGATAGATAGTTTGAATTTACAATTAATTGAGAAAAGAAAAATGTTACTCCAAAAACGTACTTGGAATATATTTTATGGACTTTATTAAACTGTTAGTGTCTCTTAATGAGGTGAATCTCATTGGTGTCTCCAGGGGCGCCTACACAGGGGGGGGGCTGGAGGGGCCTCTTTGAAGAGGGGCAGAGGGGGCAAGAAGTGCCCTGAAATATGTTGACCACTCTGACTACTCTCGTTATGTTGATATCTATTAGAAAATACTAGAAAGATGATAACACCAGCACAATAATTCAGAGAATGAAAAGTTTGTCTGTGAAAAGGTCGGCCATAAGAGGGAGAGCGGCAAACATAATATATGATAAACAAAAGATGTGTACTCCCCTCAGAAGTACTCCAGGAAACTAAGGAGGATAAATCGGTATAAAACTTAGCAGGCAATCAAAATTTTACAACCAGTCCATCTATAACAGCCATGATTTTTGTAAAACCAATTAATTTGAATAGCGATAAGGCCATTTAATAACCATTTTCATTTATGGATAATTTTGTCCAAATTTTCTTAATGTTTCTGTATGGGTGGCATATTTTAAAGTTAATATTTTATTATGTTACCCCACCCTCGCCCCCGTCACACCTAGGAATGCTCGATAATGTTAATAGAAAACTTCAACGATTTGCCCTCGGTACCAACACTGCCCCTCCTGCCCTAATCTTGTGCAGGCGTCCCTGGGTGTCTCTAATTATTTAATCATTTATTTATTCATGTATTTATTTTCTCGCCATGCTCTTGAACCAGTGACGGTTTTATGGGGGCAACTAGGGGCAGTTGCCCCTCACTCGCCGAGTTTAAGCAATTCTGGCGCCCCTTTTTTGGAAACTGTGCGCCCTTTTCAAGAATAAGAATCAGGTGAACAAGTTTCTGGGACTTGACGGCTTATTTACTTCAAGAATTACCTAAAAGTATACAACAATTATTGTGAAAATTCCTTTTCAAAGTAAATGGAGAGCCTTCTGTTACGGTCTGAAATTATTAGGGTCTGAAATTGTTAGGGTCTGAAATTATTGTATACAGCGTACACTCGTCAAAAATTCCCGCCTAGCCACAACGCCCCTGGGCTTGAGTGATATTTTTCGAGACTGTCAAAATTGTTCTGGTTGGAGGAAGGGTGGAGGTAGTAACATTCGAAAAATGCAACAAAGAGCACAATGCAAACTGCTGGGCCAGGGGGCCGCGTTAGGAGGGTGGTCCCCCGCCAATTTGTGTGATGTGCGCCCCTGTGCTGGGCGTTCTAATTTGGAACTTGGAAGGCATCGAATATTAGGTCACCCTCCTTCCGCATGTTACTCTATGCTGGTGATTTAGTTGTACCCTCAGATCCTGAACATGGTTGCTTTAACTTGAAAAGTTTTAAATTGTCACTAGATGACGATAAAAGAAAATATATCAACACACGAAAATGTGTAGCGAAAACCTAAAATTTGCGTAAGTATCTCAGTGTCACTGTTAATTCAAATGGACTCTTTGGTAATCATGTCCAACCAAAAGAAACAACCACGAATGATCCCATGTCTTATTGAAAACCACATTTATATTTAAAAGTTCAATTTCACCATTATTCCAGACTTGATAACAAGAAGTATGGTTTGCAGACTTTAGACTTAGTCCACACAGCTGCATTTGGCCACGAAGCAGCGGAAACTTTTGCTATCTCCATTGACGCCATAGATAACGAATATCACCATGTAATCGTGTTCCCCCTTTATTCCCAAGAAATGTACAAACTGCTGTCAAATATTGAAGAGAAGTATCCTAATGTAAATAAGGTAAGTCTTTAAAATACATTTAGCTTATTAATGACCCAAGAGGTAAATGATTTCATACAAACCTTTGCTGAGCATCTCAAAAGTGGGAAAACCATACTCCGTGAGAAGAAAGTACCGGTGATCTTGCAATTAGTTATAATAAGCATGGTTATCTTTTAATTAATCATATCAGATTTACTTAGTCCTTGCGTTGTGTTGTTGTATTGTAGTGTTTTGTGATGCATTGTGATATGTTGCATGGTTCAAGATTAAAGAAAATAATTGCAGATGATATACTGTAGCGATAAGATCATTCCTTGCGTTTACATAATTGTTTTCCTAAGATATTTCTTAATGTTTAGTAAAAAGCTGGTTCGTTTCAAATAAAGAAGCGACGCAAGTCAACAAGCAAAACTCCTTCTCGCGAGACTTTCTCTCCATTTACTCGCATACCATTTACATGACAAATACTTGCATACCCTTTTTCATTGGTCAGAAATATTTTTGAAACGCACAAGGATACCGTAATCATTGAATCGACCCCCACCCACGAATGAGCCCATCCCCCTTAAATAAGCCCCCTTTAAACGATTCCTCCCTTCAAACAATTCCTCCCTTCAAACACTCCTTATATAAAAGCCCTCTTGTGCACGAAAATATTCACCCTCTGGTAAGCCCATCGGGCCTAAAGAAGTTTCTTATACCCCGTGAAGAGTGGCTTAAATTAGGTTTTCTCAATATGCTTGGTAACAGGCTAAACAACTCAAAGCAGCTTGCAACGTGTAGGAACCATATCAAAACCCAAGTATCCGACATTCAGAACAATGAGACGTGTACAACCTGACTTTCTTTCACCAGCAAATAAAAATTAAATCAAAGCGCTAAAACTCTACGATTTGAAGAATTTTTTGTTTCATTATCACAAAGGTTTATGTTCTGGTTTGATCCAATGTCTTCTTAACGCCGTACAACCGAGCAACGTCGACTCGCACAGAGGTTGTAGCTTCAAATGATAGATGGATTCGTTGGTGGCACTTCAATGCCTAAAGAGACAAAAAAGAAGCATGTTGCAACAAGAAATGCTGACACTTTCACAATCGTAATGGTTTGCAAATGAATTGCAGCAAAATACAAAGAATGAATAAGTTGAAACAAAATATATGAATTGTCAAGGCCTCCACGTGCTATTCTGCAGTAGAGAACAATAAGTACATTCAATTGGCAATGAAATTACCATTTCACTGAAGAAGCTCTGGCCGTTAGAGACTTAGGTTTTATCACTATGAATGTAGTACTGAATCAACTTCTAAACACCTGGCGAAACGAAAGGAACGGCTGCTAACCATGAAAAAACAATCTGTTGCAAAGTTGCTTCGAGGATGTTTTATGTGACCTTGCCCAACGAAGGATGTTTTATGTGACCTTGCCCAATGAAGGATGTTTTATGTGACCTTGCCCAACGAAGGATGTTTTATTTGACCTTGCCCAGCAAAGCAAACAAACTTGAAATATCTCGAATCGTTATGCAGTGCTGGACAGCTTTCTGCAATCCAGCTTACTTACCAAGTTTTAATTTACTGGGTTGTCAAAGGATCTTTTTTGAGGTGACCAAACTAAGGCCACACTGCCGATCAAACATGAGAATACGTGTAAAACATGAAAAAATGTATTGTGACATTGTTAACGTTGTATGATGTTCTACGCCGATGTTTGATTTTTTTGACAAGGGCTTGATACCTTCGTAAAAAACTTACTTTGCTGAAAAGAATCCGTTGAGGTCTTGCAGAAAGCCAACGTACTCTTTGTGTTCCATAATCGTGCTAATCTCAAGGAGATCTTTTGCGAATTCATTGTTTATCCCTCTTTCATAAAGAGTATTCAACAACAGCTTGTACAAAGTCTGAAAAAGAAATTTTTTCTACATGGAGTACATGGCTGGAGACTGATAAAAACAGTGTAACAAAAACAAACACGCGCAATTGCATTTCTGGTTTCAGAACATGTCGCACGGAGAAGTAACAAAGATAAAAATCCGATTGTGTTTAACAATGTGCAAGGCGTCTTATGTGATAAAAATGTCAAATAAAACCAAACAAAACTTTCAGCAAGACACGAACTCTGTAGACAAAATGTTCGGCTATTTGAACAAATTCTTAGCAATCAATCAGTGACTTATGCAAAGTCCGGCAGCACTGCCCTGCAGTTTCATCATCAGTCTCGATTGTTTTCATGCTGTTAGATCATTGCAGGTCTTTTGTAACCGTACACTGATGGATCATATTCTCTTGCCTAGATCACTGTACCAAAACCGATAACTAAGGCATCAACAAGATTCTTTTTACAACCTCTAGCTGAATTGATATTTTCTAGTCATATCATTCGAGAGGTTTGAAATCTAAATGAAATATTCAAAAAAATCATCACACTTTTGCCATGAACTATTTCAATTCAACATCTCTCCTTGCCATCTAAAGGATGCTCTCAACTTTTTTGTCAAAACTCAACATACAATTATTTTGAAAATAGTTGCATATTTTCTTCGCAAAAAATTTGGTCTTGCAAGGTAAGTGGAATTTTTTCTGCAGCAGATTACAGATGAAGCACAAATTACCCCATCCATATTTTCTGTCTCTGCCTCATACGATGTTTCACCTTCTTCTTGTGCGTCCGGGTATTGCCAAACTGAAACACTGTCGAATCGAAACACATCAGGTATTTCCTCTTCTTCCGCAATTTGCTCAGATGTATTATAGGCACAAAAAAACTGAAGGGTTTTCCCACTGTCCTTTGTTAATTGTACTTTAAATGTTGGATATGAAACAATCTGTAAATATGAGAAAAAAGATAGAAAAATTAAAAAATGCCATTAGACGCATTACAATCCTAGTTGAAAATTTGAAATGTTAAATGAAGATTTCTCAGGTATCAATGCACAGTCAAATGCCAATCCCGGCCCCTACATCAAGGATACTTTCTAAGTTCAATTCATCATCGTATCCTAACTTTAATTTCAGAGCTTGATGAGTTTTCAAACCTTGGTAAGTACATTCACAGATTATGTCTACAGCACGAATTGCGAGAAACTTTGACGTCAAACAGAAAATATCCTCAAGTCCCAACATGTCGATCTGGCATCTTTATCAGCTACTAGCCACATACATATGTCTTTCTATGGATCTCAGCTCTCTCTCTCGTTTAGTTTACAAGAAAAAGTATAATTTCTACACCTTGCCGTTGTAATTGACAAGCTCTGCATCCTGTGATGGAACCTTTTTAAGTCCGTAAATGGCAGCCATCTTAGTCTTTTTCTTAGGGCTCATAGATGCCTCTAAAACGCCAAATAGGCTGCAAATGCTTCCACGTGATTGGCTTTTCATTTTAAGTCTTTTGTTCGACTTGTCACAACACAATTTTTACTATTTTAAATTCAAATATTGTCATAGTTCATAAAAAATTCTTCTGGAAAAAAACATTGATATTCTCTTGAAAAAAGTCTGATGATTCAGCATGAAATAAGGCCAAATACAGATCTTGCTTCAGGCATAATTTGGCTGCTTTGCATATACCATAGATGATCGAAAAACAAAAAAAATATTACTGATAGTGAAACATGATGTTAGAAAAAACCAGGCTAAAAAGGTTGGCTGAATTCTTTTTCATGTTTCGCTTGTATTCCCAATGCTTGAAACAAGTGCAGCTTTTGGTGAACTTGAGTTAGATGTACAAAAGTAACAACTCACATTTGGTGGAACTGAATCATCATCGACGTTCTCTATTTCATCATCCATCGCTTCATCAATGTTTATGTTTTCGTTTACATCAAATGAAACAATAATTCTAAAAACGATAGAATAGTAAATTCAATTTTGCAATTTCAGAAACTCTACAGCCACAGGTTAACATTAAACAAACTTTGACTGGTATGAATAATATGGTTTATGAAAGAATTACCGTTCGCCATTATGTTTTTTTGACAGGGTTATATAACTTCCATCAACGTTGACCTAGAGGAAAATGAGAAAGAGATTGCAGAATGTACAAATGAAAATTGAAGATTTTTTAACAAGGCAATTAATTGTGCGGGGAAGCTATTGTACTGCTTCGTCTCATCAAGTCAGCGATTCATTTGTTTGCATTCAATTTCTTCATCGGTTGAGAATGTCTGACATCATGATTTCAGGGGAAAAACTTTACATATCATACAAAATATCAACTCAAAACTTTGAAAATTTTCAATCAACATGCAAAAAGAAATGAAGGAAGGGACAATCAAGAATGCCTTTACCATAGGCTGTTATAGAGATATATGTACGATCAGTTGTACTAATTTGTCAAGCTTCTCTAATTTCAAGGAACCTCGAAAGTCAACAAAAATAGCCAATGAACAGGGTGACACACTGCCTTTAAAGTTTACTGACTCACCGAAACCAAGCACATACCTTGAAATCCTTTAATTTCGGCAAATCCTGCATTGCCTCTTTTTCATACTCAACTTCTTGATTCAGAAAATTAACAATATCATGATCTCCTACAAAGAGAGGATTATTTGGATCTTATATAATTGGAACCAATGCTTGTGTTTTGGTAATTGAGTGGGTAAGATATTTTGTGACAAATTATACTGTTTAGGTTGGAAAGGCTTGGCAGTTGGTTGGTTTGATTTTACAACAAAATTGTACTGGGAGAATAAATGGAAAATGGAAGCTCGGATAGGGGTCATCAACAAATAAAATTAACACTTGTTGAGGTTAAAGAAAGAATATGTTATTTTGTAATGTGGGTAAAAAAACTCAGTGACGACATTCAATAGCAACCTAAATCCTTGTTATTTAATGAATATGTTGTGAATCAACCTGTTACACAATTCAGGTTTGAGGCTGTCAGTTCCGTTGCAGAAAGGGCTTTGAAGAAAATGAAGATTTCTTTTGGCTTTAGATAGGACCGTATCGTTAGCCATTTTTCAAAATCGCATTTCCAGCAATCTCTAGTTCTCTATGTAGGAGTTATCATCATCGTCATCATCAGGTGCCATCTTTATCTAGGAGCTATAATCTTTCCATAGAGACCAGGGTGTTCCCAGGCAGTTGGAAGGAAGCACGTGTAGCTCCTATCTTTAAAAGTGGGAGGGCTGATGATCGTTCGAACTATAGGCCGACATTGGTCTTACCGGTTGTCTCCAGGTTGTTTGAAAAACTCATATATGATCAACTTTACAAGTACCTCAATTCTAACAAACATCTGTACTCAGATCAGTACAGCTTTCAGCATATACATTCGGTTGTTTCCTGTTTGCATCCAGTTATTGGGCCTTTGTAAGTCCATCTCCACACTTAATTGCAACACTTTAGATTTTGCATTTTCAAAATTCTATCAGCCAAAAATTTTCTTTTTTATCGCGAATTTTGCCTATACTACAGCACTTCAGTTTAGGGGGGTGGGGGCTCTCTCCTTGATTAGCTCAGCTACTGGGAGAGCTCCTCCTCCATAAACAGAATACCTTGCAAAAATTGCAGAACAGAGCTGCAAGAATTGTCACGGGCAGCCCTTTTGATTCATCGGCTGCTCCAATGTTGCAAAGATTAGGATGGCTCTCAGTTGATAGGCTTGTCCATAGGGAAACATCTACCATGGTATATAAATCCCTAAATGGACTTGCTCCCAACAACCTTTGTCAGATCTTCTCCCGATTGCCTGGTGTTTACAATCGGGTCTTACGAAATACGAAATGCAATCTAGCTATCCTGTGAAGGAGAGCAGCTAATGGTCAAAACTTGTTTGCTTCCCGTGGAGTTGATACATGGAACAAACTTCATTCTGATATCAAGTTAGCTCCTTTCATCCAATCAAACTCAAAGCTCGTGATTGAAATTATTCAAAGAAAGCTGGTTTTAATTTTTCGTTTTTCTATTCAAGTTTTTATTTCTAGGTATCTAGTATATTTATAGGTGTAGACGATTGTGGTAGGTTATTTTTATTTTTGGTTGCAGGGTTTATTATAAAACAGTTATTCAAACTGAATTGTAACCCTGGGTAAAGTATTTTAGAACGAAAAAAAAATAAATAAAAAATGAAATAAATTCAAAATTAATATCTTGGGTGTGCACTTGCCATACTCTGCATTTCATGGCAGTTTTTGAGGAGATCTCGGGAGTGCACAGGATATCACCCAGGATTGCATTTATTATAAATGTGCACATATGAGTGTGCATCAAATTTCTCAGTGATTCTTCAGTGTGTGCATATTTTGTCCAGTACTTTTCCTGTCTACATCAATTTTATATCTCAGGGAATTTCATGATTGAGAGTTGAACTATGCTTACCTACCACTACCATCAGTAGCTGTTATCCAAATTCCTAAAGGTTTGGCAAGTAAAACGATAACTTAAATAAAAAAGTCAAAAACTTGAGCATCCTAAGAGTATCATGAGGATGATCTAAAGCAGGTCACTCAGAGGGGGATAAGGGGGCAAATTGCCCTAAGGGCCTTGATGTCTGTAGACTTGCTCCAAGTCTACTTCGTGCTTGAGAGAGGAGTATTTACTTCCCTCCTGTGGACTTCTGCGAAGGAGATGGGCGGTGGGAGGGGAAAAGCAAAATAGACTTGTGGACTGTGTAGGACTTGCATTTAAAGATAATTGATGACATTATGAAAAAATATTCGCTTGTCTCCCCAACAGGCAAAGGCGAATAACAAATGCAAGTCACAAAATGGGTCAACAAACTAGAGCTAATTACTGACTACTTGGTGGAATTCAAATACTACAGAGATTATAAGAGACATGGAAAGAAAATATTTAAACAACATACAGTTCTGTTGCAATTTGATGCCAAAGATGAAAAATTGGACTGTCCTTGAAACTCTGCAGCCGCATGAACTCCGCCAAGTTGTCTGGTAAAAGCTCCCAATTTGTGGAACCATGCTGGAACTTGAATTCTTTGCCTCTGCCACATCGCTTCTACATGATTTGTAGTGGTCCTGGTGACCAGGTCGACAAAATTGTAGGTGTGGTTCACAGTTTGATGTTGATAGCCGATGTTCCCTATTTGATTTTATGCTTGCCACATGTCCAAACAGACAATTGAGCCAGGCACTACCCACGTTTGAATGATTGGTAATAGGGTCACGGCATCCCTTGCTGGAACTGGAACCAGGAACCATTTTTTGTCGACCAGGTCATAGCCTCCAAAGATCTAACTTTGTGGAAGAATTCTGTTGCGATTGTACTTTTTTCTGGAGAACCGGGTCTCGTCGATCTCGACAATTCGGCCAGGTCCTCCAATTTGCTGAGGTTTGTTGAGGAAGTGCTCCACACAGACATCGCGGCAGAATTGCTTCCAGTCCACCACTGTGTGCTCACTTTTGATGTCCAGTTCTTTAAGGACCTGCTTTTGCGACAGGCCCCCGTTCATCCACAGTCTAGGCTCCAGAAAAATGTTGGAGCTTCAAGCCTTCGAAAAACTACCCTTCTGCACATTGAATCTTCTGTGGGCCCCGCCATGTCACTGCATCTAGGGATCTATTGAGGGCACCCTTGAAACATTCTGTGTGAAAGTTCTTGTACAACATCATTTGTGCAAGCAGCCCATTCGGCAGACACCAGGCAATTGTGTCGGGGATGTTCTCTGTGAACTGTCTGCATATCCCAAATAAAGTAATTGAGTCGAACTCATCGAAATTGGGCACAAATCTTGCCATTTTGTTCCTGGTATTTCTGCTGACAGTCCTCCAAAGTGACCTGCTATTCGTTGGGAACACATTTATAACATGTGTGCAATTGTTGCTAAATTTAGCACCAGACAAGCCCACACACCCCAGTAATTAACACATAGGTGCTAGAGGTTTGAAACACTAGCCATTTAATTGCTGCATTTAGTAAATGAAAAATATTACTAATCTGGAATCGGGGAATCGAGTAATTGCGGAATATTGAAACCAGTAAGCCAATTTACCAGTTTTATACCTTGTATGAAAGGTCTTTGTGTAAATACTTTATCTCTAAGACCAAAACACACATCGGCACAATACATTTGGTTAGGTTTAAAGATATACCAAAACTCCAGCCAAATAACGACAATTGGAATGCACCCACAACTATCACCCTTCCAACAGCGAGGCACCTTCAAAACCATATATCACTTTTTAACAAGATAGCTCAAACAATCTACTGTCTGATGTCTACTGAGACGGCTTTGAGGGACTGTTTGGCGTTTTCATGACCCTTCAGGGCTGCCAACTTGGTTTTTTCTAAGCCAAATTTCAGAAATTTGGCTTTTCCAGAACATGTTTGGCTTTGAAAAAGGGATTTTGCTTAAAGCTAGAATTTGGCTTAATTTGGCTTTTTCAGAGCGTTTTTCAATTAGAAACTTGATTTTACCAAAACAAGATCCTTGACACAATGTGATTTCATGGATAAAGTCTAAATATTGCTGATGTGGCAAAATCCTTGATCGTTTCGCTTCAAGTCACTTTCAATTAGAGAGAATGCAGAGACCACAAAAGTAAGGATAGTGTATGATGCTTCATCAAAGGAAGGAAAAACAGGTATATACCTCACTTAATAATTGTTTACATGTAGGCCCACCACTCACACCTTTGTTATTTGATATATTGTTAAGGTTTAATGAGTTTAGAGTACCTATGGTAGCAGATATTGAAAAAGCCTTTTTGAATGTTGAAATAGATCAATGAGATAGAGATGTTTTGGGGTTTTTTTATGGGTCAAGGATGTAGTTTGCGTTTCTGAAGGCTTCCGGCCTTGAATTGTGCGGCAGCGGCTGTACATTAGGTTGTTTACTGCAGCGTTAATGGCGGGCCTGCACGTCTGCTGTTTGGTGGATTTTAGATTTATTTTCAGTGATGTGCTGATGCTGGTTCTTAGTTTTACTCTGATTTCTGTTTATTTCGTTTCAAACAGCAATGTGTTTTGCTAATGTCTCTATGTTTGACTCGTTTACACTGAGTTGGGGGAAAACAATGATGGCCAGCAGTTGATCGATGGTACGAGTGAAACGTAATTTTGTTATAACTTTGCGAAACATTAACCTATAAACCTGTAGATGGTCTCATATTAATGGAAACATCAAATGCTATCGTTTGGTATATAGTTTACCTATATAGGTATTACCTATAGATCCTAAGAGGTATGTTACTGCATTAGCATCCTGGTCCCTAACCCTATGTATTGTTTCATGTGTGTGACCACGTGTTGACAGTTAGGTTATACATTTAATTTGAGTCTATCCTTTGTTTTATCGCTATTTATTTATTGTTTAAGGTGCTAAAGCGGAAAAATGCATGCTACCTAATTGAAATATATCCCTTTTTTTCTGAAAAAATCTTTTAATCCTCCATTCAATTCAATTCAATTTCATTTCAATTTCATGTGCATTCTCGTCAGCTTAATTAAAATATACTGATCTATTCAAGCAATTCATCAAGATACAATTTCAGTTATACTTCAATACATATAAGGTTTAGATACTTGAAATAATTTTTTGTATCTATAAAGTTATAACTGAGTGACACATGGAAATAACCCATAGGGCTTTCGAGCCATGTGTCATCATCTTATGTGAATCCTCCTACTTCATCTATGTTTAGATTGGCAAATTTGTAATAAATGGGGCGAAATTTGCAAATCTTTAAAATAAATACCTTCGGTCAATTTATGGTGAATTCCGCAAGAGCAAATCTTGTCGTGGATTTGAAATTTTCTTGAACCAAGAACCGAAGAGCTAGAACGGAGTCTGCTGAAAATGGAGCTCGATCTTTTCGTCACGATACGAAGACCACTTGCACTTGCACGAACATGACGAGATACTTGTGGTATCATAGAAGACAAAGTTTTAAATACATTTGCTGATGAAATCATGATGCGTTTTAAATTGGTTCAATAATGCGATCTTTCGTACAACTGCAATGATGAAAGTTTTCGTACAGAACTAGGCCACGCTTGATCGGCTCACATGCAATATGAAAGCAGACTGGGCCGAGCCTCGCACAAGCACAGGGAAATAAGTCGGCATTTTTTCTGAATTTTTTCCGGAGGGATACAGATACCGTAAATACTCGAATTGCCCCCCCCCCCTCGAAAAAGCCCCCCCGCCCTCGAAGTAGCCCCCACTGCTACCGTATATTCTCGAATAGGACCCCACAATTTGACGGTTTTCGCCATCTGAGGTTGCATATGGCGTTTTATTGAATTACCACGACAAATTCGTACTTTTGGTAGTAATTAACTAAATACTCATAAAAAAAATCCCTACTAAAATAGACAAGGTCTTTTAATAATGTCTTCTTATTGTTTACAATAATTTTATAAGCCTCCCCCTCCTTGTATAAGCCCCCCTCGAATAAGCCCCCGTCCAAAAATATCAAAAATAAATAAGCCCCGGAAACAGTGAATTGGGGATTAAACTGCTTAAGAAAATTAACGTCTTCTGGCTACAAACTTTCCAAAAACTCTGGTGGCTCAAAAGTCTTAAAGATGAAATCAAAATAAACTGCTCTAAACTGAAGCTTGTGGATTTAAGCACAGAATACAGAACTCAGGTTCACTTCAACAATTCCTTCCTGATTGGCCAGTTTGAAAGAAAAAAGTGCTTTGCGGAAAAATGTGAAGTAAACTAGAAAATTTCAATCTTTTTTCTTAAAGAAAATCTCGTAACAGATCTTGCAAAATTACCATGGACATTTCCAGAAAATCTTTCTCTTTTAAAATATTAGAAATTGGTGGACCTTTTTAAAGGAATTCTGGCTTTACCTCAGGGTATAAAAGTTTTTCACTGCCCAGGTAAAGAGATAACGGTATCCTAGCAACTGCATCAAACCAGGAACATGCGAATTTGTGTTGCGCTTTTGCAAAGTATTTAAACGTCCGTCATTGGTTAGAAATCAATCAATCAAAACTCAAAACATAATTTCACAATAGCATAACTTATTTCCAATTTACCGTCTCAAAGCTTTGAAACCTAATCAAGGACCATCATGGGTTTACTGGATTTAAAACTTTTATTAAAGTTTTGTTTAGAAAAAATCGTTGTTTTCGAAACATCATTTGCAAGGCCATATTTTCAATGCCACAAAGATTATACAGCTTGCTTTAAAAAAGATGACGCATTTTGGTAATCTTCTGATCAGAGCCTTTTGCCTTTAAGGAGAGCTTTTTGACTTTGAAGCACTGATTTTTACAAAAATTGATAATAAAGATTATCTTGATACGATAGAAATAAGAATTCTAAAAATGATGTTCGATATATTTTGACAATACATCTTGATTATTTGCTATTTTAATTTTTCACGTCTTTATACTATTTAGGAAATACCTCACACAGGACCTTTTCGTCTATTAAAAAGATCCGTTGCAAGAGCCTTCCGTATACAGAGGACAAGAAAGTTTTTTCTTTATAATGAAGGAAAGAAGAAGTTGGGAGAATTGAAGTAGGGTTATCGTTTCATTATTGTATTTCACTAATCTAGGCTTTATGCATCTATAAATTCAAGATTAATAAGATTTTAACTTTTGCTTTACAATGGCATCGTTGATAGGATTTCGTAGGGGTAAATATGCTCCCGATAAAAAAGACTGCCTTGCTTTAGGCGTGGCTTAAGATTGTTGAAAATCAGTGTTCATCAAAGTTAAGGTCGTCAAATTTTATCTCTAAAAATTTGTGTAAATGGAACAATGGAGATCGGACGTTTTGTAAAATAAAACATTCTAATAATAGCAAGAATTCGATTTCTGGCAGTTCCGCAAAAATGTAAAATCTTGAACAGCATGAAGTGATGGGGAGCCACATCCTTCTATCTATCTGATTGCTCAGTAAGGTATAGAAAGTGTTTCATCCTGTTTAATCTGTGTCGTTAATCAGTTTCTTCCTCAGTTCATATCCTCTTCTACTTTTTATTTCTTTCGTCTCTAGGCCAGGAATTATATATAATGTATGTGAAATTCCTTAAGGTTCAAAGCTAAAAGAACAGGACCAGACAAAAAGCTCAATGATCATGTTGATCTTCTGTGAACGCTGCAGCTTGCATTAAAAATTGAAGTATCTTTTAATTGCTGTTGATATTTTCCATCAGATGTAAAGATGTAAAAATTGTTAAGATGTAAAAATACTTTTTTTAGTTTAGATGTTAATTTATTTACTTTACTCAGTACTTCAATGATATACGTTTACTAATGGGAGTTAGTTCATAGTGCTGGAAAAATCTTAACAGAAAGGCAAGTTATTAAAAACTTTGGTTGTTACACATCCGTAAGGGATCAGAAACTTGTTACTCCACAAAATAAAGTTTCGTGAAATTCTAAAACCCTCCGTTTAGTAAAATCTTTTGTGATGGTTATGTTTTAGAGCGCTAGCTAAAGGTCCTTGAAAACTAGGTCATTGGGGTGTAGAGAAAGGAAGTCCTACAAATTTCTTTACAAATTCTAAAAAATCACTTATCATGATAAAGCATATCAACAACGCTTTCCTCAAGAACCCTACTTTATTTCAATATTTCATATCGATAATTAATTAAAATAGTTTCTTTTACATAGTCTATTCGATAGTTGTTTTCTTTTGTTGTATTGTATTTAAAGATTCTTTCAAACAAATATTTTATCAAACAATAAATTTACAAATTTTTTTAACACATGAAAGATTTGAAAAAATTGAATAAGACTTATATTACTGTTTTGAAAAGTTTAAAGGGATCAACATGAATATTTCGATTTCAAATTTGCCGATAGCTCTGTTAAAATAAGCAAAGCTTGAAATATTAAGTTTCATGAAGATTTTCTAATTTATACCAGCAATAAATAGAAAAAAGCTTGAAAAAAACAAACATTTTGTAACATATTAGCTTTTCGTCTGAAACTCCTTGAGCATAAAATGTCAGAACATAGATCAAAAACTCTACGCTAGGAATAGACTTAGTGAGCAAAAGTATTGCATGCACTCTCGATTACCTAAAAATTCATTTCAGAAATTTTTTTGCAGTCACCTTCTTGCAATCGTTTAAAAAAAAGTTGTAAAATTTCGTTATGTCTAACTAATTGCTTTCACAAACTGGAAATCTCGAGAGCATCCTAAGCCTCAAGGCCTATGGCCAATTTTCCATCACCACCATCTTTCAGTAACCCTTGTTACGAGCTTGTTTTTAGCTTGCAAAAAGGGCAACTCGGTGAGCTGTAATGGGGCAGGTAAAGGGGAATACGTGCCCACTGTGCCCCCCCCTCGGTTCCTACGCCTTTGCTTGAATTTAAGACATCATTGATGCCTTGACTGATATATCAAACATATGCAAGCCAACGTTGGTAGCAATCTGAAATCTGTTCAGCATGATCATGAAAGTTAAAGAGAACTTGTCAACGAAAACATTATTGTTGGTCAAATTGCTTTGCAAATCGTTTTTCATTTTTGATCAAAATGGAAAATTTTGACTTTTGTCTTGCATGTAGGTATCATTTAGGTAAGCCTAGGTTTTATTTGCATTCAAAATATTTATATAAACTAATTCAGCTCGGAAATCAATTTCTTGAAAAGGGCACTTTGTTGCCCCGTGCTGCCCCGCACCACTAGGAATTCAAAATCGAGGAAATCAGTCGCCACTCGAAATGACAGTTTTGGGAATGCTATCTATACGCCAATATTGAATACGGCGGCTATTGTTTTCTGAAACCTGTGCCCATATGTTTCCTTTACGCAAAAAAAAACCGGTGGCGAAAAAGAATATTCGATATCTATATCCATAGCTCCAAAGTGTGGACGCTTAAAACAAAATGATACAAAATGAAATAAGGATACAAATAACAATCTGAGGTTTTGTATTGAGGGATTAGACTTTCATTCTCGAAAAAAGTTCATGAAAATTAGAATCGAAGTTGCAAGAAGAGGATCGAAGGCCACGCTGAGCGGAGTAAAATTGTGACATTTTAGCTAAAGTGTTGGCAAAATAATCACATTTAAAAGATGCTAGCCTCATTAGCAACTTTTAGCAATATTTATGGACCAATTTCTCACACACAGGGCTGTAACGGGGTAAAGCACCCCGAAGCCGGTCAACATTTTGGCTAGATCCGCACCTGGGGGGGGGGGGGCTGCATGAGCACTTCTTCGTAAAGTTTTCTTATCTCTCGGTTTTCCATCTGTGTTACGAAGTGAGCGTGATGGTGAATTTCTCAATGCTGTATTACATAGACTTACTTCTCTGTTAAGTATCAAACAAGTACTTACGTCTGGCTTCAGACCACGCCTACAACAGCCTACAACAATAACGTAAAACAAAGCATCGCGTCACGCTTACTGTACGCTGAGGACCAACGAAAATTGCGATAGCGTGTTGAAAAAGTTTGAATTCCTATATATTTTGAGGCCAGTCACTGGAGTTGAAGTATCAATTCATGGACAATTTCGATAAGTCACCATAACTGCTCAGCATCGGGATCAACGCAAATAACTGTTTTATTAGAACCCTTCACTAATCTTTCTTAATTTTTAGAGGAAAAAAGTTACTCATTAAACCAATGTAGCTCTGATCTATTATAATCACACAAACTATACTCTTTCCTCTTTTGCAAGTTGATTTTAATAATTTCTGCGATAATTTTATATCAAATGCTTCAACAACATCGTGGCCCTCGTTTGTCATAGGGCGGTGAAAAGATTGCAATCAAAAACAGAAAAACAAACACGAATACAAAATTTCTGTTAGAAATAGGTTATTCCGTGATAACAATAAAATATTTCGTCGTGAAACAGCCACATTTAATTACCAGCTGTAAATTGAATAAAACTCACTGAGTTACTTACTGAACAAACAAACAACAAAACGAGATTTAAACGAAAATGCAAACGAGGAACTATTCATACAAACTTATACGACATCGACAAGAGAAAATTCAAATACGGCGTTTTTGCGAATTCTTAAATACAACTCTATGAATGCATAAATACAAAACTAATTTTTGTGATAGATATTCGTAAAAAACTATCGAATCATAGACACCATCCTTTTACGGATTGTGAGAAATACACAAATCTGTTCTCCGGCAAAGTAAATGAAAAAAATATATTTGCCAGGTGTTATTTTCAATGTATACAATGATACCTTTTTGGTATCACTTTAAATTACTTCGATTTTCATTTGCAAATGCAAATATTCTCCTGGTGCCATGGGTTAGAGTCAAGTATTCTAGGGTGGTATGGAGCATTGGCACCAATTAATAGGCTTTCCATTCATAAGATTCTAGATAGACATGGCCTTGTTGTCTCTAACTTATCAAGTAAAGAGTTCATTTTCCACAGTATGGCAAAGACAATGACACAAAGATCTCTAAGTGTTCTATTTAGGAGTTCTATTTAGGTGCTCTCTCTCAAGTGCTCTGGTTCAAGTGGTCTTTTTCAAGTGCACTCACTTTCAAATTACCAAATGACAGCTACAGCGAAAATTGAGTGACAGGCGTCGAAAAGTTCTTGACACATTCTTTCATCTTTTTAAGTTCACGTAAAACTGGAAATTCTTCTCCATAGTGCATGGATATTAGACGTATTCCCCTGTCGATAACTTTTCCAGCTTTGTCAAACATCTTACCATTGAACAAGAACCTTGCTAACTTTACCACAGCATGGGCACATTCTGCGCTTCTGTCACCATACTGCTGCTCAACCGAATCAAGATTCAGACTGCAATGATATGAAGCGAACTCCCATTCTCGCAGCACCTCGTAACACCTAAAATATCAGAACAGTTCTTTAAAACAAACATTTACACGAGTCAATAGAAAAAAGGAAAAGGTCCAAACTGAAACAGACAACGTATATGTAAGTGCCCTGAGCCAGGGGTCTGAGCCAGAGGCCTGAGCCAGGGGTCTGAGCCAGAGGCCTGAGCCAGGGGCCTGAGCCAGGGGCCTGAGCCAGGGGCCTGAGCCAGGGGCCTGAGCCAGAGGCCTGAGCCAGAGGCCTGAGCCAGGGGCCTGAACAGGCTAAAACGTGATTGCTTTTTGGTTTTAAATCTTGTTTTCTTGAGTTAAATAAAACAACTAACATTGACTTGCAATTATTTTTAATAGCTCAATTAACTCCGCTCAAATATATAAAGTAGTTAACAAACTGAAAAGAAAATTGTTATGGCATGAAGCAGGTTACCTAGACAACGCATCATGCACCTCTGCAACAAGTCGATCCTTTGACTGAAGAAGCGATGACCTCTTTTTCATTACCAGCCTCAAAGTTGTTAAGCTTTTCTTCACGTCACCACTTTTAAACGCATCCACTGCATCCAGAAACAGTTCCTTGCTGTACTGAATTTGCTCCAGTTGTGCTTCTATGTTGACAACCCGCCCGCAGTCTTTGTTAGAGCACGTCGCAACATACGAATCATTCACGAAATTTACATTGGCGTTGTCTCGGCATTCTTGGCATTGCAGCTGTAGTGAGAGGAACTGGCGCCTTTCTCTTTCCTCATCCCTGTGAACAACGTCGGATAGCGTAATTATCTACATCCAAGTCACTTATGGAAATTAAGATTGTTTGCATCTAATCAATTTACTTCAAACTTCAAAAAATCTAGTCTTCCTGTGAAAATTATCCATTAAAATGGCAATCTCTCCTTCAGAAACGAAAGTACTTGAAAAAAATTTCTTGTAGAATCAAACTCCTAGAAAACATTCTAGAAAGGTGCTTAAAGATACATTCGACAAGTCTGCATAGAAGAAAACAGGGAAAAATCTAGAGGCAACAAAACCAAATGACAATTGAAGTTACACAAAAACACGAAAAAAGGACTTCTCATCGGAAGTCGACTTGTGTTGAGGTTAATTGAACAAAATCACTCACCTTCTACAAGACGCACAGGAACATACGAAAAAGTATCTCTTCTGCAACATTCTTTGCCTTACTGCACGTTGCATTCTGCCAACATGGGGAACTGAAACACAAAGACTTAAAAAATTAATGCTTGCTTAAAATGTAAAGCTCTTCTTATAAGTTGTCAGAAAATTAAGAGAAGTAGGAGTAATTAAAACTTATTCTGTAAGCAGAAGAAAAACATAAGCTTAAAAAAGAACTGAAATATCATATTGGTTAGCAAAAACTCCTCCCCCAATGACCAAACTGACTCAAATTTCCTTGCTATTGTCGGCACTTTATGGATCTTATAATAATATTTTTTGTCTTCTTAGGCAATGTCTATTATACCGCAACTAGCAATCTCGGGTTGTCTTTTGAATGAATGTCCTTCAAATCCTTCACGATGCTTTCTATTCAATTTTGGAATTTTATTCTGCCTATATATATTTTGTACATCCTTTATCAGCAGGAATTTAGAACATAAACACAAGCGCCCTGAATGTTTAAATTGCCTATCTTGCCCAAGTATCACAAATATAATGACCTGTTGCGAAAGTTTTGTAAAAAGAGATTTGATGCTGGTCTGGAAGAACTAGCAGATTTCAAAACTACAAGTGGGTATTATTCCCAATAAATTGCTTCATCGAATGAACGAGACAATTTTCTTTGATGTTTGTCTATCAATTATCTGTATTTTAAAGGAATAATTAAACTTCAGCTAAATTTTGTGAGGGGAAAAGACGACTTCATACCATAGCAGTGTGTGATTTCCTCTCCTTGAGAGATTTTGTGCGTCGCTCGCATGACAAGTTCATCATCTATGAAGCTGCAAAGGAAAACACCATATTAAGACAATGATTACTTGTTTATTACCAACAAACGTCAACAGCGTGAAACATCTTTGTTATTATCATCATTTTAAAGAAAGCAAGTACATTAGTATTAAGTATTACAAAAAGGCATACCTCACAATGACATCGGGATCACAAGCATGGTTGAGCAAAGAAGCAGTCGGATACAATCCAATTGCAATCTGCCGCTGCTCTTTACGAAAGGAGCGTTCCTGCTTGCCAAATAAAACTTCATCCTCCGTTTGACTGTCTGTCTCTTCATCTTCAACCAGCACAAGTCTGGTTACGGTGTGAACATTACAAGCAACTTGCTGAATGTGACGTGATATCAGCTTTTGGATCTGTTTCTCCGTCAGCACAGACTGATAGAATCCAGATGAAAGATTGTCTTCTGATTCAGAGCAGGAATGCCTTCGGTATTTCATCCCAGTCAGGTCTTTCATAATGTCCAAGGGCGCACTTAACCTGGATATATAGCATAATCTCGTTAGATTTAGAGTCTAGCTAAAATATCTTAAGTGTTTTTATGTCACTGTTGAAGAACAGAAGACGTTGCAATGAAGCAATGCAACAAAAACCAAGCGAATGACTAACAAATTAAAGAGTGTATAATTTTATTCTATGTCATATGTGATAAATGGGCACGGTTAAAAAGTTCTCTGTAGAGTACTGTGTGGATAGAGTGGATGTTTCAATTATCTGCTCCCACAGACAGTAAATGGCTCTGATATTTATTCATCCATCCAGTTCCATTGATAACCGGAAAAAATGGGCTCAAAAATTTGGTTGGCTCTGGGTTGCTTATTGTTATGCTTTGGGTCGGCTCTTATGATGATCTTAACAAATATCCAATTACCTCCGCAAGGATTCTGATAGATCTGGGTCGGAACAATCAGCAACAAGTTTGTCTTCACAACTTCTTGCTTCCTTTAAACTGTAATTTGCAAATGCATCTGCTAAAGAATTCAAGTTTTCATTTGAATATTGTCTGTCATCTAGAAGAGCTGGGCTACTGCTGGACAAACGAAGTGAAGGGTTTGATTGGCTTGTGGAATGGTTCCATGGCCTGACACCTACAGGGGTAACAGCATCAGGACTTGCAAGGTAGCGACCAATTATTGAGGATACCTGCGAAAGAAGCAAAGTACTTTAAATATTTAACAAGTATGTACTTGATTGAAACCAATTTTCAAATCACACAATAAAATAAAACAAAATTAGGCTACGTCCATACAATTTTAAATCATTTGAAAAATAAAAAGGGCTCATTGACCATATCAAAGTTAAAGTGACAGAAATTTTCTAAAAGCATTCTTACCAAGTTTGTTGAGATGACTGATGTCTTTGAATGTAAATCACTATTTGTAACAAGGTTGTAAATTGCTTTATAGTTATCTGAAAAGAAATTCATGAAAAAAATAAAAACATATGATCAAAACATATTGTGATATAGATTTCATAAAGATCGCAATATATTGTTTGAAGGGTTGTAGATTCTAGATATGAATTAATATACTGCATTAAGACTGATGGACCAAGAATTTCATCTTAAAACAAATATAAACAGGGATTTCCTACAACTTCGCTAATGATAAGCTGAACAGTTTGATTGCATAACATACTGATAAAAACTTACTTTTGTATTCTTTATTAGTATATCCATGAATGTTGCAATCCAAAGTTTTTTCTGTTTCAAGGGTACCTTGAAAGGAATAAGAAAAAATTGCAAAATTTCATCCAATACTGCTTATTGCAATAGCTATTGATATAAAAAATGGTTAATTCCATCATTCAGTAAATTTTGCAGATACTAAACTACTAAAATACATGGTCAATGGGCTTCCCCATCATGTCTTTAACAATTTTCCTTCAGTTCTGTTTGCTGTTATCTCTTGCAAGACTTTAATGTTCTTTGAGCAGGATTTAGCTTAATGTTTAATTTTATCAACAAAGTTGGTGGTCTTCAAACTTTCTTTAATGTCTTTTTCAGGCTTTCATCAAGAGCTATCTTTGCTGGAGTATCAACAGTGCAGAAGGTGAAACTGTGATTGGCAATAAACTATATTTCTCGGTAATCAAGCATGAAAAGGATACCTTGTACACAGTATCTACAGGATGGACTTAACTAGGCTAACATCATCAAACAAGATTATGATGCTCACGATGGTGATCATCATTTTGATGATGATAACTAAAAAAGAAATATACTAAGATACATACTTAACAATTCTTCTGGTTTTGCAGTAAGAATGATTCGAATTGACAGATGGGCAAAGGAGTCAACCTTTTTGGAAGAAAATGAAACTCGTTAATCCAAAGCTTGAATGTATGCAAGAACATTGAAATCTCAAACATGTTAACATCGGAGCAAAAGGGCAAAGTCAATGGATCCTCAAGCAAGCACCAAAACTGCTTACATGGCTTAAAATTATGTTCTTTTGAACATAAGAAGTTGCCTACCATCTGGATCAATGGCCATATCTTGCACTCAATATTGTGGTATGAAGTGTATGCTTTCTCCTGACATTCCTTTGAACAGAACAAGACATCTTGGCATGTAAAACACCTGTAGATGGAAGAGGAAAACAATTATATCGTGACAGAGTATAAAGTAGATGCATCAGATGCAAAGCTCATTGTCTTATTAAGGTTGTCTAAGATTCTAATACATCATATGACACTGGCCAAGGAGCTCACCCACAAACAAATTAGCATTTGTGCAATATAATCCATTAAGAAATTGTTATCAAACCACTAAACTTTGATACAAAAACCATATATCCAGGATGTGCAAATAGAAAACAAACACAATCCTTCCACACACTGAATTGAAGTCATGGCCAAAAAGAAGTGGAAGAGCAGCAGGAGCAATAACAAAAAACAAAGAAACCAATAGTTCCTGCTTGAATCGTGCATTTATAATATTTAGAGCTGGCAGGGAGGTATGAAATGTATAAAACAAAGACATACGGAATTGGTGCAACAAGCTGCTTTATACAATGGTAGCAATGTGAATGATAAAATTCAGGCAGAAGAATTGAGGCAAAGGGCTTTTCAACAATCAGCACATCGCCAGCTTTGATGTTGCCATTTGCCTAGAAAAAATTTGAAACAAAATTACAAGGCATACAGTTACAGTGCATATTAGCATTGTTTCAATCACCCAAGACACACAGTTGAAGCTTGAAACTTTTAATTCAATAGAAGCTGCTCTATCTCAGAGACATGACAAATTATAGAAACATTGGGCAACAAACCTCTAAATGCCTTCCCTTGTCTTCATTGTAATTGATTTTTACTAAACTTGAAGCACTGTGAATTGATGCATGTTTGGTACTAGCAACGGGTGGTGATCTTTTTGGTGATTGACTTCTTTGCTTTCTTCTCATTTCCGACAAGCAAAGCTTATGAGTTTGCATTACAGATGACTTTGTTTCTTTGTTATGTCTCAGCGATAAAGCCTCTTTTATGTCTTTCAATGCAAGCTGATAGAAGAAACACCAGAAAATCAACCACAAAGTCTAAAGTAAAATAACCAGTCACAATAACCATTGGGCAAATAAAAATTTTACTTCTTGCATCTAAGGACATTCCTAGATTGCCTCTTTTTTATTAAAAGACAAATCAATCGCTTTGAACTTTCTCTGATCATTAGCTCGAAGCTCAGTTAGAGATCAGAACTGCCTTTCACCATCAATGGTTTGATTTCTGCACTTCATTTGAAACTTTATACTGATGACTTGAGTCTTGCTTTACAAACCTCAAAAAGTTTTCATATTTTGACGACACATTCAGTTAGAAGTGATAAGAAAGATAAATACCTCATGGTGTCCCACAATTCTTAGCATTTCAGCCCTTCCAGCAAAAGATTTGGAAATCAAGTCAGCTAGACCTTCAGTAGTCATGTCTGAGCTTCTTGTATTTTTCCTATCCAAATTCATTGTTATACTTTCACAGCAATATGATGAGTCAGCATCTTGAGAAACTCTAATTTTCATGTGAAAATTGTATGGTAGACTACATAAGCTCTAAAAGAAAAAGTTGAAAGGAAAATGAGTGCAAAGAATTCGCAGCACAGTGGCGTCTTCATTTCAAGTTACCAAGGTAATTGCTTTGATTAGAAAAGCCTTAAATACCAGATACAATGAAACTGAAAAGTAGAAATGAAAATAGAAACAGCTTTTGGTCATAAAAACGTAAAAATAAGATTTATCGAGCCTATACTGGATTTTCATGAGATCTTATCAAAACATTACCAGTAATACAGAAATGAATATCATCACTTGGAAGGCAGCAACCACATACCTTTGAATATTCATTTAATGCTTTTACATACAACTTTTTTCCATGGTATATATCCCCTCTTTTTTGGTGGATCCTAGCATCTTCTATCAATTTGTCCAAATTGTTGGTACAATATTGTCTTTCGCATATTGCATGGTCAACATCCTCCAAAATTTCCGCAACAGACTTTTTATCCCTAGAAGTTCAAGTATTTACCTTGTATAAATTGTTTACAGCAGGGTTGTTCAGCCTTATTTCAAGAAGGGCAACTTTCAGAATAACATAGTAACTGGGGGCCACTTAAATGTTTATTGCTGCAAGATGATTGTCTGTTTGGCCCCGTCCTGTTTCATATTGTCCTATTCCAATAAATGAGTCACTGCAGAGTTGCCTGCTGGGAACACTTTAAATTGTTCTGTTCTCTTTGTGAACAGGTGAACTCGTCAAAAAAACAGAATGATCACTAGTTTGGCAAATGCTTGCATTGTTCATATAGAAGTACTGATATGCGCATTGGTCTTCCAGCGTGAAGAGAAGAAACAACTGGTATTTGATCGTTTTGTTCCCATCTGAACAGTTCACTTCCCTTTTGTTCAAAAATTTTGAACGCCATTGTAACAGCACGCAATCATTATGTGCTACCAAAAAGAAAAGTAAAATATGGCATGCTGACCTTTGTGGCACATTCTGAACTGAAAATATCTTATTTCCTTAGAGATTGTTGACTAGAAACCTCTAATTCATGAACATGTAACTGGCCTTCCAGCTTATCATAAGATGAATGTTTAGTGTTATCATGCTTAGCAATATTGTATTTTTCCGAACTGCAATTTTTTTCAAACAAATCAAACAAAAAACAAAGTCATTTCAACAAAGTAGATAATTTGAAATTACATTTCCTAAGTTTACTATCTCGCCCTCTCTCTTCTCCTTAGAAACATGGCTTGTATCAATCTTGAACTTTTGAAACAAGCGTGGTGTGTTCCTGGTTTGGGCACAGAATAGAGGGATGAGAACATGCTCTAAACTGGATGTCACTAAATGCATGTGCGATTTAGTGGGTGCACTTCAATATGATCTCGTGAATAATGATCTCATGAAAGCCTAGGCCACATCAGACAACATAACGGGCCACGCGTTGGACAAACCTGGTGGACAGCAAATTGAGATAGAAATTGCAAAACTATATTTTGCAAAATGTTGTGAAAGAAGTATTTTTCTCATATTTCCCACATAGGGCTTGATTGCTTCCTGCAATTTTAGAAGGTTTCCTTCCTAAGCCCAATTTGAGTTAAATTTGTCCAAAGGCAAATGTCAATTATCACTTCCAGAACATAAAGTGCAAAACTGATGCTGATGTTCCTATGAAAAGGGATTCAAACTAGAGTCAGTTGTAGCATTTGTAAAAGCAGGGCAGAGCTAGATTGCAGATTTGTTAAATTTTACATATATTGCGGGTGCGGGTGCAATTATGATGAGGACATATTTTACAATAAGGAGGACAGTCTGACCAATGGGCCAAGTCTGACCCTTTAAAAATACCTTTCTGGCCCATGATTGTGTGGTCAATCAGAATATGAAATTTTGCAAAAGTATTGTTCCTCTTAACCTACAGCAACACTTCATACATTTATATACAAATTTACGCCATATCTTTATCTTTTGGATAACCAGTACTAACAATCCAGGGCGCATTTCATGTACTTAGGCCCAAAGATATTTGGCAAACATTTTTTTTGGCAAGCTAAACATGAAGCCACATACATAGTTCACATGAAAGAGAACAGAATAAAGACTTGTTAGATGTATTTATCAGTTTTATTTGTCTGGCTTACAATATTTAAAGTTTTACTAACTGCTCATATTTTGGGGTACCTAAAAAAATGGCGTACCTGTTCTACAGTAATATGGACACTAACAACATGGGAATTATTGTCAGCATTCTAGCATACTAACTGACACAGACTTTGAGTTGGCTTGGTGTAAGTCTTTCAGTCACTCAGTAAGTTAAAAAACAGCGTAGACAGTTATAATTCTAAATGACTGAAAATTGAAAATTATGCAAAAATATTCTCAATAATTTATTGGGAATTGGGTTTTTCTTTGGAGGTTTTGAAATCATCTGAAACGATGGTCATCAGTTGAAACTCAAAGGATTAAAAACACAGCTGTGGTTTTGATAATAACACTGTGGACCCCTACGAAAACAATTCTCAAAGACGGATTTCTATTAAAGAACCACTTTAAACTAATGACAACAGAAGCTCAGAATGCTGTTTGGAATTCCAAACTATTCTTAGTTGGAGAGCTGCCCGAATGTGGAAAAGTAATAGCAAAACAAACGCGTGTGTTGAGGCACGCTTAGAAGTGTTTGTTTGTTGGAAGGACCATGTTGTTGACTGAGAGCTTCCTTGCTGTTTGATTTCTCATTATTTTCGAGCTGCTTACTGGATCAAGTTAGAAAGTGTGCAGCAATCAATGTAAAAACAATTTAAAATGTTTAAAATGCTGCTAGGTTTTCTGTAGCCACTGTTCATTTAGGGTAAACCAGGGTAATTTGGGACAGCAATTTTAAAAACAACCATATGCATTATCCTTCACAATTCGCCAGAGTTTTTGCTTTAGACATGCGAGCCGCACTTCCTCTTAGCAAAAAAGTTGAAAATTCTTTTCATTTTAATGCTTCCTTCAAAAGGGAACGTCTTTCAGTTCTTTCTGGCCAATGAACGGCTGTTAAAATATATTTTGTTCACTTCTTGCAACTTTAGAGGATAAACACACCCCCATTCGTGCATTCATAGTCACGTTCATAAAGTTTCTGAGCATTCTACTCGCCTCGGATAGACTTAATATACATCTATAAACATGTCGAGTACTCTGGTAAAAAGCTTTACCCGTAAAAAATGAAACGGAAAACATTATTGCAGTCGTTAATTACAAACTAATTTAGAGCCGTGAATTTTCCGTAAAGTCAAATTTCATCGACCTGAGAGCATGGCCTAAGAAAAAGAAGAACAAAAGTTAGATAGATACCTCTGCAAGTCACCAAGGCTCCAGTCTTCAAGGAAATTTTCTATCTGCTTGAAACTTTGAATAACTGTGTCTAAACTCTTCTTGAGGGCAGAATACTGGTTGTGCTGAGGAGCCATTTCCAAATTCGTGGACTTTTCGGCATTAACTTTTATCTCCACACTCTTTCCTCTAACAACGCGTACAGAAATGTAATCTGGAAAAATTTATCTCGCCAACATCCGTCAATGCTGCAACTCGATTGGAAGATTGTTGGATTCTGCAATTTGATTGGAGGAATGAACTGTGCATGTGAATGGTTGCCGTAAACACGTGAACATAGAGTTATTTTCCCAAGAATCAGCTAAGAAGAACTATTGTACTATCAACCAATCAGAGGCAGGGCTGGAATAAGACCACCATCGTCTTACGCAATGGAATGGCTTGTTTCTACCGTGAAATCTGAAGGCGAACACGTTGAAAAGAACTATTATTCACCGTCAAACTCGCACGCGAGCCAAAATTAAGGTTCAAATAACCAAGATCCAGAATTCACGACAAACTCTTGATTGCAAGTCATGCAGGCACCGCGGAGCGTTGAGAAAAGTGGGGGGTCTAAAAGGAGTATGTGTGTGTGTGGGGGGGGGGGTAAAACCGTATAAAAAGAGGCTTTACTGGTAGTTTATTACTTAATACTTGGCATTCTTTGCAAAAAAGGGGGCTAGTGCCCCCAGCCCCCTGCTCCGCGGTGCCTGACATGACGCACAACAATATACTATTGCAGGGAAGGGGGCTCAGGGGCGTCGTGGCTGGGGGCCAGATGGGGCTGTGGTCCCCTCTGTTTTCAAAACTTTTCGGATTTTCGGAAAAATCACTGTTATGTCGAAAAATTTTCAAACTTGAGCTGTGTGAGGAGAAGTGAACGAACCATTTAGCGACATAAATTACATGGACTAAAGTACTTTCCGTATTGTTGAGAAGAAATTCACTTTTGTAAAGAAAATACAAGATTTTCACAAAAACAAAAAATATTTCTCACAACTTACCGATTTCTACCATAGAGTGATGTGCTGCTTGGATCAGTAAAAACTGGTTAATATTAGTCATGTATTCTCTTTTTATTTGATATTGCAGACTGGGAAAGAAACAATTTTGTGCCTATCGCCAGATTTACATTTTTTGTCCCAGATTTGAAAACTCATGCAGTTTTGTTGCATAAGGTAAAACATTTGAAAACGAGGACAAGAAAATCAATAAATACCATCGCTTCCCGCCAGTGGATATTCATTTTAAGAATAAGATTCTATTATTAAAGTGCAATTTTGATAAAAAATGCAATTTTTTGCGAACTTGAAATTTCCCCTTCGACGGTAACCATGGTGCCGTCTCGGGTAGCAACTTTTTCTACTCTTCTACCGACCTATAGGTGTCAAAAACGTTCACAGTAGTTATGAAAAAACAGAGACAAGATAAAAGTGCCTTTTAATTATTTTCTTTCTGGCCCCCTCTAAAAATCATTGGCCAAGACGCCTCTTATAGACCAGAGGTGAGAGGGGGAGCATTATCACCTGAGCTGGCAATAAACCAGACTAACTTTTTCTGACTCAACTTTTTGTGTAGATTACGAATCCGGATGTTGCTTTGGCATTTAGGGGGGCGTTTTCTAGATATAGGGGGTCAAAGCCCAAAAACACGCGATCTGACCTAATTTGACTGTTTTCTGCTATCACCCTTTAAAAATTGGTAATTTTTGTTATTATCTGGTGATGTAGTAATCTTACGAAAACGAAAAGACAGTGATAATAGTTTCAAATTACATATGTTCTTGAAATATAAGAAGTTTTGAAAACTTGTTGTTCAACATCGTTCAAAGAAAAGGGATCTGTTGATCTAGACAAAGCTCTTACTAATCCTCTTGCCCTTGCAACAACTGAAGATACAGATGCAAAACAGCCAAGTGTATGCTACTACATACTGCATTAAAATCAATCAGAGTACCAAAAAACCCGCTGCCAAAAATTAATCTGGAAAAATAATCGGTGAAATTTCGGTGAGAACTTGAAAAATCTTCGGAGTAAAGAATCGAAAAACTTTCTGTAAGTTATTTTTATCTTCAACATAGAATTATCTGGAACACAATCATAAAAATTGCAAAAATCGAATACTTTGATGCATACCAAGAGACAGTTGAACTATCAATGTAAGGAAAATTTTAAATCACTGGGACATAATTTCAAAAGATAAAGAGATAGCATTAAAAAGACATAAAAAACATTTGAGATCTAATAACCCACACACACATTGGGACACATGGATAACACCCCTCCCCCCAAGAGTTCTGAATCTGTTCTCATCAGATTCGACATTTTTGGTGCTTACTCAGCAAACTTGGTGGTGGCGTTAGTTAAAAAATCAATAATAGTCGATGGTATATTTGATTGTTTTCATTTTCATTTCGATTTGTTCCTCTTCGCTCCTCGGCACGTTAATATTTCAACCGTTAATTTGCAAACTGAAACCACTGGGAGCTAAACTCCACAATACAATTTTTCAGCGTTGGTTGCGCGAATGATGAGAATGACTGCCAGAAAATCGATTAAAACAGTCAAATAGCGTTCCACCCGCGGATATTTATTTTAGGAATAAGACTGTATTGTAAAGTAGTAAAAATGTCTTGAATGAATGAATTTTCCAGCAAACTGGAAGTATCAAAGTTCGAAAATTTCCCCCACCATGGTGCCGTCTCAGGTACTAACTTTCGTGTCATGGTTCCTATTCTGTTTAATGATTAAATGAAGTCTTTTTTTATTACTCAGAAAAGTTTACAGCGTTGTGAATATAGAAAAATCATGGAAAAAGGCCTACAAAGAACTTTCTTAACATATGTCTTTTGTCTTTTTAGGGATATTTTGTTATAAAGGCGAGTTCCCCACAAAAGAATATTAATCACGCTCGAAGTAGCTGTTCTTTCTTGTCTGTTATATTCATGTCCTGTCATAATCTTAATGATTGTGCGTCTTTTTGCAATTGGGATTCCATGCTTTCTCTCCAATTGCATAGACCCCCTAAAGGAAGGGCAAGCCCCTCCGTCAGAGAATTTCTAGCGCCACAATAAGTAGTCTCAACTCAACGATCAAGTAATATACTTTTCAAGAAAAAATTCTTGTGTTAAGATTGAGAGAAAAGGTGTAATTTAGGTGGGAAAGTCAAACACAAACCATGGGAAAGCAGATACCAAAATCTGCTACCTACTTCACCATGCCCTACGGATGAATAATGGACAGGAGACAGTTTGCATTGTGCGCTCTGGAGATGTTGATATTCTTGTTATCCTTTTAGCCAACGAGGCTAAAAACTTGCATTTCTTTATGTAGTACGGAAGAGGAAAATACAGGAGACTAGTGGGTCTAAATGCTTTTGCGCTATCTTTATTGCGAAAGCAAGCGCTCCTTGGCCTGCATGCATTTTCGGGAAAATTTCTACATCTCATCCTTCTTGCGAAAAGAAAGCCTGCATTTTGGAAACGCCTTTGGAGGCGATGAAGAAATCCAAAAAATGTTATCAGAGCTTGGCAAAAAAATTGTTACTTGTGGTAATTTGTTACTCGGCTTAGAAAGGTTTGTTTGCACACTGTATGGAGAGAAACGATTGCTGTCAGTGAATGAAGCAAGATATGCTATATTCTGGTGGACTTTTCAAAAGGAAAACAAAGTAACTGGTCGGTCACTGCTGCCCTCATGTAAAAGCAGCCTCGAAAAACACTTCAAGCGTGCAAACTTTGTAGCAAGAGTAAAGAGACAGGCTTTACAAAGCATAATCAACAAAAAAGAACCAGCCAATCACGGCTGGTTAGATGATCTGTTAATTGATTGGTTCACGGAGCCCTACTATACTATCCTGAGGACATTGCGGAGCTATTGTTTGCAAGCGAAGAAAAATAAAGCGAATCAGAAGGAGAAGGCGAATTTAAACTAAACGCTTTAAGAATACAGTAATAGTGAAATTCCCTTTCCCTGTAATTGCCTGCCTCCCCCCCCATCAATGCCAGAAAAGGCCAAATTTGACAGAGCATTGATCAAGAAACCAATTTTTAATAAAATTAAACATTTCCTAAAGTGCAATAATTAAATACAGTCAAATTAGGTCACATCGCGTGTTTTTGGGCTTTGACCCCCTATATCTAGAAAACGCCCCCCTAAACGCCAAAGCAACATCCGGATTCGTAATCTACGCAAAAAGTTGAGTCAGAAAAAGCTAGTCTGGTTAATTGCCAGCTCAGGTGATAATGCTCCCCCTCTCACCTCTGGCCTATTATGGGTTTATAGGAAAACGAGAAAAACGACATTCTTTCTTGACTCTTGGAGTAATTTTTGCTAGAAAAGTTTTGTATACATTGTATGTTTAGATGTATATATTGATATAGTGACCATGAAAATTGTAAGTTTAATTTTTGCATTATGCTGAATGACCCGTTTTTGTTACTTCATTGAACAATGCCGAACGAATTTTCGAATTCTGAGACAAATATTGTAACGTTTTAATTATACAGACTCGTTTAAATTCTAGACATCAGACTAATGGGTAGTGGCAAAATTATCAAAGGGGCAAGAATATAGATTTTTCGATAAAAACCAAATAAGCGTATTTGTTTTTTCATACATTTTAATATAACATAACGACATCAAAACGGAAATAAAACAATCTTCGAATATATTAAGATATTCTTATGTTACATCCAGCTTAAAAATTTTTCTCTCAACATTTAGATAGAAATTGACAACCATGTTTAGCTTTATAGGGGAGTCTTTCGCGCCCTCTGACCCCATTCTATCTTTGCCACTGGGGTAGATGCGCGCATTGGCAACAATAGAACGAAGGCTTGAGAGGTGCACTGCTACCTTAATTTTTGGAGTTGCTCGATGTGAACAATTTTCAATGCATTTACAATTATCAGATGCAGGCCTCCCAAACTGTCTTTAGCCTAGTTTTGCTACTAGGAAATCTTGAGACGCGAGCTTCACAAAGCCCCCGGCCCTTCTTAAGCTAGCTCCCAATGGTTTCAAATCTAAAATCAGCACAAAAACTACGCCTACAATTTTTGCACCTTTTTTAATAAAGTTTATCAGATCTTCCAATAAACCTTTATTAAATTTTCGTGTATGTAGCGCAGGCTTCAGGTTTGGGTTTTTGCACAAATATTAGAATATTGAGGGGCTTGGCAATGAATTTTGTCCGAATGGCTTCACGGAGACACGAGACAGAACTGAAATACAAAAATGTTGTGTTACCACAGGGGCTCCCCTCATACTCTATTATGTTTAACCGTTAATCAATGGCTCTATTATTTGTTTTTACGCAATCAATGTGGGCCCAGCTTCCTCCAAATTTTCAATTCACTTTCATCTGTGTTTGAAAATGTTTACCTGAGAATTCCTTAGTTTCATAACGCCATTTACATTTCGCCTGAAGCTTTTGTCTGAAATTGTCCAAAATTAAGACTTTATGGTACGAATTTCTCTGTCCGAAAATTTAGCGTCTCAAATGAAATCAGAAATCTTTGAATGAGAAATCAGAAATCTTCGGGATTAGTTCATTCTGAAAAGATTTTTACATTGAAACATTTATTTATCATCATACTTTGCTACCAATGTTTCCAATGGAGAAATATGGAGTTTTCTTATCTTGGATTAGAAGTCATTTGCTAAAAATTTAAGCTAAACAAACCCGCTATGCCATTTAAGGAACAAATGTTTTCATAATGTACCCTTGCGCAATCTAGGACAATGGCTTGCAGTTTGAGATTACATCCACATAAGAGGGGGATGACAAATGCAATCATGAAATACACAATAATTACTAGCGAATCGGCTTGGGCATTCAAACAGAGTTTTGAATCGGCTATTGTTCAATGACTAAGCCGTCTTAAACTCATTAAAAAATAACTAGACGGATTAATTTACAGTAAAAATGGAACAAGTGCGATTTTGAAAGGCCAGGAAAAACGATCTAATACAACAAGTCACGCAATCCCTGTTCAACAAAACCATGAAAAACAGCTTTTCAGGTAAATATAGGATTGAAATAGGAACTTGATGCCAAGAAAGCACGCTCCAAGCGTAGTTTTCAGCCAAATTCCATGTTTACTCCCATCTAGAGATGAAAAATGAATTTGATATAGATACTTAGAGGTATGCCCAAATGTGTAGTATTTTTCCCCTTTTATTGGAGCAATGTAAGGGAATGAAATAATGTTTTATGGACTAAAAGTTCCTTAGAAAATCGCCAGAAGGAACCAACCTGTTTTCTATTCAAAATTAGCATGAATTCCTTCTTATAATTCTCTCAGCAGCCAAAGTAAAGCAAACAGATACCAGTTGCAAAAATCAATTCTTGAAAAGGGACAATCCTTTATTTTATGTTGATTTTCAAATTGAATCTAGTGGTTTGTTTCTAAACTGACATTTTATCGCCTTCTTCTAATTCGTTAATTTCGGCAATAAGCTTTTCATAGCAAAAGGTTCTTCATCTCTTTGTAGATTACCTTTATATAAATGAGAGTTGCCGTGATCATTGAGTCGCATTTATCATAAAAATTCGGCAGTTTGATAATCTGAAGATTATGCGATTTCTTTGAATCAAGAGGAGGAAAAAAACACTTTGTTGACAACACTTCTTGTTTAATGAGACGAAATAAAGGAAACATATGCTTTAACTGTCAAAGAGTCAGAGAATTTTCATGGAAGTTTCTTCTAATGAGTTACGGCGGTCAACGTAAGTAGAATCAAGATATTGATGGCATATATCAGCTTAAATATTACAACTCTGCAAAACGACTGCCTCAAAGTATATCATATGCACGGGTCCCCACTCTACGGCACAGTCAGTTAACGAGCAACGGGTTTTACGCTCGGAGAAAACCGTTGTTTGAGTTCAGTTTTGCTGGTATCCCGATTCAATTTCTCGTCATGGTTCAGTAAAAATGGCGTAACATTGACATTGCTGGCTCCACGGGTCAATCTCAGGCCTGATGCTGCAAAATTCACGGAAACTTCAATTTTGTAAATTTTGCAATATATATTTCAGAGAATAAACAGATTTTTGCTTTTTATATGGGAAATTGTTGCAAGACGAGTTCGTCAGATCCCTATGCTGAGAAGAGGTAAATATAATTGCAAATTGACATATCAAAATAATCATTTCTAAGCCCTTTTATGACCTTTATGGTCAAATAGATAAGCATGCAACTTGATTTTTTGCAATAAATTCCAACCAAGGCAGAATTTACTCCTTCTGCTAACAGTGTAATTTTAAACTGCAAAAGGCCAGATTTTTACAAATGTCTATCATTGACTCGTGATTTTTTATGTATTAATGGCCGGAACCAAGAGGCCTGAAATAGCTTACGCATGAATACAGCATCCTTTGAATCTTCTTGCTTAAGAAATCTTATTACTTATCCCTCGAAACATTCACATATTAATAGCTATAATATGCTGCACTTCACCTTGATTTTGCGGCTTCATATTTTAAAATAGGGCCTAAATGATCTTTGACTCTATGTGGTTGCTGCAAACTTTCTTTCAATAGAGGAAAAGAAATTGGCGGTCAAAAATGATAAAATAAAACAAATTAATTGTAAAAGACTGCTTTCAAAATATTCAAAATTGCATGTTTGATTTATTTTGTTTTAGGGACAACTAATTAGTCTTGATAATGCATAATGCACTAAGAGGAGTTGGGGATCTACTCAATCGAAGATGAGACTAGAATTAGTACACATTCTGCTATGCAGTTTAGTTGCGTTATTGCAGCCATTGCTAATGCAGTGCAAAAGGCCAAAGGGAGGTATGTAAAATTATCTATAACTGTTTTGACTCTTGTAGTTAAATTGAAGTATCAGAATGTTGTATTTGTTTCGTAAATGCATATCCTTTGTGCCTGCAACTTTGATTCTGACGTTTTTTATACATCATGTGTATCGGTAAAGTTAAAAAAAAGCTGAAGTTGATTGCAAAATCGAATATAAAATGAAATTCTAATTTTGGTTTGTGTTTGAGTTTTAGAAGCATGGATGATAAAGTCGTCGCTGGTAGGTGATGAATTCAACACTCTGGAAGTGAAAAGAACAGATTCGCCAACAGCAAGATCGGAGATAACAAGGCCGGGAAAATTACAAGGAGAGCTGAAGCGTCCAACAAGGGAGCCTGGGGAGTCGTTGTCCCGCGAGATTGCTGCAGCTCTGCCCTCGGGACCTCTTGAAGCTATTAATAAAAATTCAAAAAACAATGACATTGCTACATCTAAAGAAGTAAAACGATCTTCGCAAGAGGGATCGACGAAAAGTACTTCTGGGAAAAATAATATTTTCATTAAAATTGACGATCAAGATGCGACCGACACTCTCCCAGGGGTGAAACGAACATTGCTAAAACCTGTTCATGCTTCGGCTTTTCCAAATGGAGGGAAAGTACGTGAAAGGATCGCAAAAGTCGTAGAGAGAAGAACAGGAATAAGGAAAAATGTCAAATTGCGACAAGAAATAGAATCAAATCCAGGTACATTTGCAGAGGAAAACATTGGAAGGCCATATGGCGACCCTGATGGGTACAAAACAATTGGTGATGGAATCTATCTCATGAGTGCCGAACAAGAGGCGGAAGCGATGCCGCATTTGACAGGCTTTGACCAGCCATTGTATGAAAATGTAAAGTCATCAAAACCCGCCGAAAAGGATCTGGTCAAAGAGAAGAAGATGCCGGACCCATCGGAAGCAAACCTTCCTGAGATTCTTTCACATTTGGATGAAGAGGTATCAAAGAAGAATACAACTGGCGCTGTTTCTAACAACAGCACAGCCGCTAATGGGAGTGAAAACGCGGTGACAGATGGAGTGTCTTTGTTGAAAGGTGTAAATAAAAATGTTGACGTAGAGACTCAAGCGCTTGCTAATCATGGTCGGCAAGACGATTTGGAAGAAATGACGCCCAACGAGTTGAACGCACTAGAAAGCTTTCAGGATAAACTTGGCTTCGAAGATAAGGCTATCGGTAAAATGATTCTTACAAAAAACGTCGATAAGGGGCAGCAAGAATTTGTGCAGCATACAAATGCAATGTTAGAAAGGGACAACCAAAATCAAATAGACAAAATTGTGGGGAAATTCAAGGAAGAGGAAAGCGCATTTGTGCAGAAGAATCCATATGTGATAAACAAGCCTAAGCTACTGGAGGAAATAAAGAATGTTAGTTACCATGACGAGGCAGCTACAAAAAGGGGATTTCTTGGTACAAATGACAATGTAAGGATAGAGAAGATGTATAATTCACTGCTAAAGGAAGATGAATTGATTTCTAACGGCATGAATGACAAGACAAAAGCCTCAGTAAGGAAAATAATTAGTCGGATAAAGAACAACCCGGAAGATGTTCAGATGAACGACTTTCTAAATTTCTTGGAAAAAGAAGATAAGGTGACTGAAAATGCGGAAGATGATGGTAGAAGTAAAAATGGCGCGCAGGCTAAAAAATCTAAAAATAGAAAGCAGAAGATCAAGTCTCTAAAGAACAACGCTGATCTTTTGGCTTTGGAGCCGTCACTTGGCATTCTAGCGGATACGTATAGCGCGGAAGGATCGCCTCAGTTGAAGGATAGCGATATTAGGAACATCGTAGTTGAAAAGCTGAAACGGAAGAAAAGTAGAAGAGTTTCTAAGAAACATAGTGGACATTCTAAAAAGCCCGTTGTAACTTCGTCCAGAAAGAGCAGTGTCAAAAATCTTAGTCTTAAGCTAGCACGGGAACTGAAAATGGGCCCTGCTACTCGTAATAAAACACGGACTGAAAATTCTCAGGGGAAAAAATTGAGTAGCATGGAATCTGATAAACAGAGGGCATCAGATAAAGTAGCCCGGAAAGTACAATTGCAGCAAGTCAAGGTTTTTGAGATAAACCGACAGGAGGATATAGATAAGGACCCAAAAAGCGCAAAAATGGCGAATAAACCTAAGAAGAACGAAGACGTCCGAAAGTTTGGTGTAAAAAAAGTTTTAAAACGACGGAAGAATGGAAGAAAAAGAACAGAAAGATTGCAGAATTTAAGTATGAAGCAGGGTAAAATGGCAAACGAACTATTTGTAACACCTTTGAAAGCCAAAGAAAAGACGAGAAGCAAATCGCAAATAGACGACAAAGATTACTATTGGCATGGCACTGTTAAACCTGAAACGAGGCAGCTACCAACGGATCCAGCAGACGAGATAAGAAAATTTGGAAGATTATCCAATTTAACTCCAGTAGGATTTGAAGAACCACCTAAAGAAGGGATTGGACAAGTAATTGGAGATATGAACAACATTGCGAATATTGGAACAACGACTAAAGACAATGAATTCGAGAGCAACCGTGAATCGGCAGAAGTAAAGGACTTCGGGGACTCAGTCGAGAAGCTGACTGGAGACGCAAAACATGGATTGAACAAAATTGATGAAAATGACGTGTCATCAACTTCATTCTTCTCTGCACCAAAATTGCAGAGAGACGCGTACAAGGAGATACTTAAGCAAGGACTTGATCCAATGGCACAAAATGTGATGGGGGATGCCCTTAAAAGTATGGATTCAAAAGACCTTCAGAAGGTCCAAGGTTTTGTCAATAAAGATCACTCTAAAATAATGGCACTGTTTGACCCGTCATCTTTGAGGCCCAAGATAGAAGAATTTGATGAAGGAAATGAGAGAGAAAGCGATGGGGAGAGTTCAGATGTCGGTGAAGAGCTTGAAAGCGAACAGCAGCATGGACGCAAAGAAAAACACGCAAAAAAGCATAAAATGAAAATTGTGCTTCATTTGCCAGAGGAGATGGAAGGAGGAGAACAAGAGATTCACGGAAAAGGCTCAGAGCTGCCTATTGGAACAATAAAGGATTTGACAGCAGAGTATGTGAAAGCAGCGAAGAAGCCGGGCTTAGGCCAAAGGTTGGCAGACGATGACGAAGATACTTTGGAAGAGGTATTGTCAAAGCCAACAGGGAAACTAGAAGAGTTTCATCCTGCAACAACTGAGTCAGCTGTCGATTATGTCCCAGAGTCTCTTCAAGGGAAGGAAAGCAATGAATGGGCCGAGAGGGAAGGAGACAGACCTGGGAAGGAGACGATGAATATTGAATTAAACGAACAGGGGAAAGAAAGAAACGACGATGTTGCTGACAATTTGAAGAGCAATAACTTGTTAGCAATGATTAAGAATAACGAAGATATGTTGCAAAGTGCTTTAGGAAGAAGTAACAACGGCGAAAAAATTGAAGAATTCATCAAGAAAATAAAAGAAAACGAAGATGGAACGATTGGCAGTAATCAAGGCGATGCAGCGCAAAGCAAATCTGTCACCAGCAAAAAGAAAGGAAAACAATCCTCGAATGGAAGAAAGACAGCAAAAAATGGCAACGAAAAGCAAAGCGAAAGTTATGGATATAGCGAAAATGCTGCGCCTAACATATTTGAAGATCAGCTGAATTACGAACACAAAAGCAAAGAGGTATCGCAAGTTATGCCTACGGAAACAGTGAATCAAATAAAAGAAATTTTTAATGCCGACGAGCATCTGATGCCGATAAACTTTTTGGCAGAGGACCACAGGGCACTCACGAAGCCAGGCACTGGGCCATTGTCTGCTAAAAATAAAAAGATGCCAATTAAGATGGCCACCAAAGTAGTTACAACGCCACTGTTGCACAAAATTGGGAAGAACACACCGACTGCAAATTTAGTGCCTCACAGTTTACACATACAAGGTGGAAATATTCATGGTGGAGACATCACGGGAGGTTTCATATCAGGGGGAGAGATCAGTGGAGGTAAGATTCAAGGAGGGCAAATAACTGGTGGAAGAATATTGGGGGGTACATTCAAAAATGGACGAATGGAAAACGGGGTGTTGTATAATGGCAAAGTTGATGGAGGTCTTATAAAGGGAGGCAGCATTTATGGGGGCAAGATTGAGTCTGGATTAGTTGTTGGCGGAAAGATCAAAGGAGGAGAAGTTGACGGAGGTAAGGTATCTGGGGGCGAAATTGACGGAGGTGTTATTAAATCAGGAGAAATTAGAGGTGGTGTTTTGAAAAGTGGGAGTATTGAGGGTGGCATTTTAAAAGGGGGGATCATAGAAGGAGGACATCTTGCTGGCGGCGTGATGTTAGGTGGCAAGCTTAAAGGTGGTGTTGTGAGATCAGGTGTTATTAAAGGTGGTGTGATAGAGGGTGGAATAGTAGATGGTGGGGTAATTGAGGATGGAGTTATAATCAAAGGTGGGGTTGTGCGAGGGACATTTCCACATAATTCGACAGTAGTATTCAGTGACAACTTCGAGGATGACGTGGCAGCATTATCGGGAGCAAAGGAAAAAGACAGCGCAAAGAAAACTGAGGCAACCGCAAACAACAGTAGCCGGCCACAAGCTGAGAGCACAGAGAAAAAAGAAATATCACCAAGTAACATAACAGAGGATAAACCGATGTTAATGCCAGAACCAAAAGTAGTGGAAAAGATGCCTGATGGCGAGCAGTCAAGCTTACGTAAGTCGACTGCAGAGCCAGTTGAGAAAATGAAAACAACAGCAGCTCAGATGTACAAAATTAGTGTTGATTCGAGTAACCAAGAACATAGCGTAGAGCCCCTGCCACAAACAGATTCAAGCCATGCAGGCAGCGATCAAGGACAAAAACAAACTGAAGGGAAAGTGCCAACAGATATCAGTATTTTAGGGGCACCTGAAAGTTGGCCGATTGAAGGTGAGACCAAAGGGAAGCAAAGCGACGCGGACAAGGAAAAGCTGGCCCCTGTCACTTATTCAAATAACGGCAACGAGAAACAGAAGCCAGCTGCCAGCAAGCCTAGCCCTTATCACGAAGAAAAGAACAACCTCAACACTGTGAAAGCCTTTGAAGGCAAAGAACCCTCACTCAAGTCTTCAGGATCGACCAATGAAGAACTAGAATTTGAAGACGTTGCAAAGAAGGAAGGAGGTGCCGAACAGAAGTCCATTTTGGCGAGATTTCAGCCTTCGCCATTTCAAAGCCAGCGCAGCGCAAGGTTCTCCAAAGATTATGGGACAACAACAAGAGCAACAATAGGTATTTTAAAACTATTTTAGTTGTAATTTGGCAGATTCATTTAAAAGTGATAAAGTTTATTCAAAAGGCTTTGCCCATATCTTCTTAATTCATTGATTCCTGCGAGTTCTGTACACTTATTCGAGTTAATCTAGCAAAGGTTTATCTGGACAACCAGCACTGTTTTAAGACTTTTAGTGTGTTGTTGTGCAGCAAACTCTAAGTTCTTCTTCCCCCTCAAAAAATTGTAACAGACAAGATAGCAACAAGAACAATTTTTAATATCATGTAAAATTATACCAATATTGGTGGGAAGGAAACAAACATTGTGAAAGACAGTGACTGTCCTTGGATTGGCTAAGATATAAAAACAGCTCACAATAAAGAAATCAATTCCGCTTTTCGATTTTCTGTTTCAATCTGTCCTTAACTAGGTAAGAGTCCAACAGCAGCTTTGAAATATCACTGGTCACTGAATTCAGTTCGAGGCGGCAAGATCTTAGGATCCCCTGGCAAAAGTATGTCTGTGATTGGAGGAATCAAAATGCATAGCGGTATTGCGACACTAAATGATGGATTAGATCGAGGCTATCTAGATGCTGGAGACTATCAAGGAGAATGCGTTAGTGGTAAGTGCGAGGGCGCGTCCTTGATTGACATCATTTATTTCGCTTTTTTAAACGCACAACAACCGCAGGATTTCATCAACATATAGACCGAAAAACGCTATCATCAACATATAGACCAACTTAAGTTAATTCACAGTCGTACCATAGTGTTTGCATCCGTATTTCTCGAAAGCTTTAAGGTTATTTGACAGCTTATGAGTCCATGTTGGAGATCTTAAAAATTGCTTCACATCTCTAAGTCTAACATGTATTGATAATATGATATCAGCAGCAAAGGAATAATAATAACAAAATGTTGATATACTTTTTTCACCCTCACATTTGAGGACAGATTAAACTATGTATAATGTTTTGCTATGAAAGCAGATATTCACTTTCATCCTAATGGGGTATATTTTCTCTGCAGATCCAGATGTTTGCAAAGATGGTTTGACTATCTCACTCACAAGCAAAATATACAAAGACAGTGCAGAGAGCCCCACACGAATGTATTTGTTCGATTCAGGCGCGGGAAGCGACGATTCCCGCGGGATGGCATTATGGGTAAACAGGGGAAAGATCGAAGGGGCTGTTTCCAGTCGAAAAGGGACATGGTGTTTAGAGGAAGACCTTGACAAGTTTCAGGATCGATGGGTTGATTACGTCATGACATGGCATCCAATGAAAGGTTAGTTATGTTTGGAATATATGATATATGTCGTTATGCTCAATAACAGATTTTGAAAGTAGCGCAACCTTTAAAAAAACAGAAGGAAAATTTCTTTTGCCGACTCAATATATTACCAAAATTTTTGTACCAGATTACCCGTGGATTCAGAAAATACTAGTTTTATCTTACAGCAAAGGTAACGATTATCTTTAAACAATTGTGCTTCACTCTTAGGCTTAATTTTGCTTCAACTATCTTTCTATCATATCATTTGCATTAATTGAAGACCAGCTTGAGAAGCCAATGTCAAATTACTGGCTCAATGATATCCGTAATTTTGGCATTCTCTTAAATCTTTATTCCTGTCTATTTGAAGAAAATGCCCTTGCCTATCTAACAAACATCTTGCATTCATAAAGGCTTGTATCTCTACGCAAATTGTGAGCTGTTTGCGGTTTCCGGGTTTGGAAGAGGCTGTGATGTGTGCAACCGACGTTCTTGTCACCAGGAAGACAAAAACACGCATCTGATGTTTGGACGACCTAACAAAGGACCTCATTTCAAGCTCACACATTTCTCAAGTGGCGATATTACAATATATGAACAGTTCTTTGATACCACTGGTGTAGATACCCTATGTGGCACTAACAATGGTATGTTATATTGTAATATCAACTAATTAGAATGATAGCTAATTGTGCCATTGAAACATCTCTGTTCTAGATCAGAGAGTAAACGTTGATACATATACCAATATAATTTTAAATAGAATTGCTCTTCACGGACAGACTAGCAAGCAAGCAGCAAGCTAGCCAGCAAGCAGCAAGCTAGCCAGCAAGCAGCAAGCTAGCCAGCAAGCAGCAAGCTAGCCAGCAAGCAGCAAGCTAGCTAGCAAACAAACAATATTTGTTTGTTAACGCAGGTAAAGGTTCTGGTAACTAGTAGCTGATTCTGCCTCTAGATAAAAATTCTATAACGATTGCCCTGGCAACTCAGTTACTGACCTCAAAATGATGGATAGCTGAGTTGGCTGAAGGCTTGTGGAATGTGATCCCTACGGACAAGATCAGTTGGTCAACCACGACATTCAGATTGTGAGCCGAACGTCTCAACAACTCGTCCACGCTACCTTCATGACGTCTTTGTTTAGTGCTTACTGCAGACAATCGATGTTCACCTTTTATTATGGAAACCTGTATTGTGCAAATCACGAAGGATGTAAACAATTTAAATTTTCTTTTAGATAATCTACGAAAACCAAGTTTCACCTCACAAAGAGTGTTTTCAAATACCCCAATAAAATCTCCACTGGATTCTTCGGCCTATGTCATGAAGAAGGAAAGATTAAGCAAGATGACCCCAGAGTTCAAAGTGCCATCTTTAGACAGGGACCCAAAAGTCATTGGCAACGAGTTCGAAGTCTGGCCTACTCCATCTGGTCTGCAATCGTTGTCAGCTTTGTTTCAAGTAAACAGTCCCGTCAAAGCAATTGCACGAGAAAAAGTTCAAGGTAGTTATAGCTCTAACAAAATTATTTAGAAAAATAAAAGAACTATTCAATCCATTGGAACATATTTTTAGATAGTGAACCAATTTTGCAATTTTCTGTACATCAATCCAATTCGCTGTCTCGTTTTGGGAAAAACCCGAAACTTTATATTGAAAAACATTATTGAGCTCAGGTAAAAATTGACAAATTTGATTTTGGCCGGGATTCAATTTTTTCTCTTTTTGTCCTTATAGTGCAGATTTTATGCCGTTCAAAAGTTTGGCGACAAAATTTTTCTGGGTCTCAAACTTTCAACGGTAGTCGAAAACCACAAAGAAATCACCAAAACAGTAAACTGTACATAAAAAGTTAACTTTAGATAGTCACAAAATTGATATCGCAAACAGAATTATCACGAAAACCAACACGTATGCAAAATCTCTGGACTAAATTAAGATAGGCTTGAAATACTTTCAAAAAGGCCGCTTCATGCATTTTTACAGTCAATTTATGAAATTTTACATGAATTAAGTTACTAAGCATAAAAAAGCCGAACTAAAATCTTACTACTTACATAAACATATTCAAAAACTTACATAATTTAAGTATTTTCTCATTTGACAAAAAGAGAGACACGAAAAAGGGACAATTATTCAAGGCTTAATTGATCAGAGACAAACAGTGTCGACTTGTAGCTGGACTTGAAAGGGTTAGACCTTTCTTTTTCAAATAGTTTTGGTAGATTTCTGCATGCATTATCAACACACAACTCCCTGTTAAACAACAAATTAAACAAATGGCTCACAAATTCAATGCAGACCCTGTGTTCTATTGCCTATTGGGAATTATTGTATCGTTCAATCGGTACTCAAGAAGTTGATGATTATTCTTCAACATTATCTGAATTAACGTTTTTAAGTAAAGGTTGCCCTGAAACAGCTTTAAGTAAAGCGTACTTTAAAACAGCTTTAAACAAGGTTTGTTTTCAATTGGCGTTAAGAAAAGCTTGAATTTAAGGAACTTAAAACAAAGTTTGCTTTCAAACATGTTCTAGTAATGTTTGCTTTGAACCAGCGTTATGCAAAGTCTGCTTTTATCTACAATGCCTGCCAAAAGTAATGGAACACTGACATCAATTTCCAAGGTCAAAATCAATCATCCCCCTCTCCCCTACAGAACAATGTTGGTTTACTATCAAACGGGTTAGGATTTTGGCAAACACTTACTTTTGCGCTTCTTTTATGATATTTCTCTAAATCATCAACATTGTTTTAGGGGGAAGGAGGTGGAAGTAGCAATTTTTTTTCATGAAAGGGATGAAAGCGTAAATTGCTGGGTGTTCCAAGTACTTTTGGCAGGCATTGTACCTAAATCCTTTCATCCAGCTGACCAATGACGACTTTCTTGCAAGTGGACTAATGTATCTTCTTTAAACAGAACTTAGGGTAGCATTCTCTCTTCGTAGTTTTCTCGCAGGGAAAAATCTCCAGGACCCGAAAACGCTTTTTACTTATAACGTTTCACATAGACGTTAAAGCTTTTAATAATTTTGGTCCGAAAGTGTACGATAAACAAGAAAGTTCCCGTTTTGAAAAATATGACTTGTTTGTACCGGAAAATGCTATATTCTGACAAGAATCAATCCTAAGAAAGAGAATTGTCAAGAACTAATAGGTTAGCACAAACACAATAACCGCTTTATGTTTGATTCCCATAAATCAAAAGCAGAAAGTTTCAACCTTGTTGTAAATAACTGCTAGGCCGCAAAAACATTAATTTCTTTTTGGAAAAATTGGCTTTTCAAAGTTCACTACACTAAAATTTTCAACATAAATCTGCAAAGTAAATTATTTAATCTTCAATTTCCTTACATTTTATTTATGATATGTATTCATTTGCTACTAGCAAATACGAAAAAATTCTGTCTATCTAATTTCCTGAAACTTTTAAAGAATGTTAGATTAGTTTCATTTGGCTGAAACTCAAACTAGTTTTCGCCAACAGCTATATTTTCAACCAGGAGGCCTTTCTTATCAGAGGCGGATCTAGAGTGAGTTCCTTGGTGCACAGAACTCAGTCAGTTTTGCAACATATAGCTAAAAATAGTGTTGCCTGAAACAAGTAATATTTAAACCTTAAAGTGAAACCTAAAAGTTTTATCACAGTCTCTTCAAAATCTTAAAATTACCAGTTTCTTCTCTGTCGTGGTTTGGAAACGATTTTCCAGACGCTGTGGAGGATAACAGCAGTCAATCCTAGAATTCGGAAATAAACGTTTTGTGCCTTGGAAGTGAATGAATTGAAACAATGAACTTTTTGTTTGGAACACGGATGGAACTCAGTCAAAACAGCATCTGGAACTCGGAAATTATATCATATTTGTAAGAGAGCTGTACAATAGCCCGTAGTTGATTGGCTACCTATAGTTTCTGTTCTGTTGTCAAACTACAAAACATTGAATTCGAATTGGCGACTGCAGATGTCTTATTTTCGCAACCCTCACAGCATTCTAGCAAATTATTGAGTGTTTGAGATAAACCAGGATCTATCGTTAGTTTTCCAGGAGTGGTAACTGCCTTTGCTTTAAATTGCAGTCTTTGATGGCACGAAAGACCTATGCTCAGACACCATATTTCGATGAATAGGCTAGTGTCTACGGAGGCAAAACAACAAACTGCGAGCAAAACAAAAGAGAAAACCTTTGATGTGGCACCCAAAACAAACAAAAGGGTATTGAGAAAGGGATGGGGTTGCAAAAAATTTTCACAGAGGCACTGTTTTGTCGGAAAGAAATTTAGAATCTAGATTTAGTGAGTAGATAGTACCTACCCCTCCCCCTCAATGGCACCAAAATGCATAAATATGAATAATAATGTTGTCTTATGCCCAATTATCAATGCATTATCTGAAAGTTCCTATCCTTGGCCTGGAACTCAGTCAGGTTTTTTGCTGGATCCACCCCTGCTTATTTCACCATTTGCATTTATTGGCTTTATACTTCTTACATTTGCTTTCATATTGGTTATTTATTTCGACCGACGAGCTATTCTGCCAGTTTGATGGAAACCTAAGCTTGAAGTTAAAACACTTATGTTTACGTTGCTTTTGTGCTTTGAAAAGGTTAAAATTGATTTAGCTATGACCAGATTGTGTTAATATGGGAGCATTTATTGCAGTTGACGGCGGTTATTCAGAATGGTCAGCCTGGACTTCTTGCATTGGTGTATGTGGTGGCACTTCGATGTCAACAAGATATTGTAACAACCCTGTGCCGAAAGAGGGTGGCCACGATTGCTCTATACTTGGACCCGCTAGACGAACAAGGTCATGTGACGAGACAAACTGTTTAGGTATGCAAACAAATTTAATACAAAGTTAAAGATTTGCAATTTCAATTAATCTAGGAACATTGCCATCACGTCCAACAGGTTCATGGAGCATCAAAGGTCCTGTTATAAAGCAATAAAGCTACCATGGCATGAATTTATACGTAGGAAATTACCTGCAAATGGTGGGTAAAGTGTAAGGGTTGAGATTAGTAAATAGAACTTGGGGGCAGCATGGCGCCTGAAACGAGTGAGTTCAATGATATATATTGGAAAATTTTGTATCGCTACTTTTTCGCCTTTTTCGAATTTATTTTGTATTTTGCATATTAAGTGAAAGACCTTAAAAGCGAATAACTATAGAAATGTCCTGTATTAACGAGATTAGATTTGATCATTATCCAATTAAAATTTCCAATATCCAAGCATGAAATTACCCATTATTATCAAAAAGCAATCTCATATCGGCCACTTTTGATATTAATTATTTTGAACGTGGACGAGAGCCGCACATTGTGACGTCAGAATGTCACCAAACTGATTCGGCTGTTGTCGTTTTTTTACAGAAAAGTTGCAACTTTAAAGCCTTATTACTTGTAAACTAATTGAAATTTTGCAAAAACAACAACTTTGCCATAATATACGTACCAGATGCTAACTTTCTAGTCAATAAAACAAATTTTTTTTTGGCTGGAGAGGCCCTTTGAAAAATAAATTAAGAGTTTGTACAATGCTAATGGGATTTAAATCTATCGTTCTTCTGGTATCAATTGGTAATAATTTTAGTGAATTGGTTATAAATACCTAAAGCCGAATCAAGGAAAGAAACAGTAAGCGAAACATGTTTAGAATAGTAAGAAAAGTTCACCTGAGGCAATATTTTGTAATCGAAGTTTATACAAAAAACGATTTAGATAAAGACAGTATTAGAAAATTGACAACTGTTTTAAAGCACAGATAACTTGATAACACAATAATACAAACTTTTAATAACACAATTTTTTAAACAGAACATTTTTGTTTTTCAGCCCCTGAGAGCTTAAAAGCATTGGCAAGATTACAATCAGTGTCGTCGACTTTAGAGAACGACATTTCAAAGCGAAAAGTAATAACGAAATCTGAACCAAAAGTAAATCAAAAGAAAGATATTGATGATCTGGTAAGCAAATAGTAATTTACTTATTTATTGGCTAACTTCCACTCAATATTCATGACACTTCTTAAAAAATTTCAAATGTTTGAAATTTTCACATTAATAAGTGTCGGTCAAATGTTCTTATTTTTATTAATTCTTTAAAAAATGCGCGACGGGAAACATTTTGAAAAGAAAACAGTCATTAGATAACCAAAACTGATTTGAATTTGAAAATTTAGCTCTTAATAGCCAAATGAAAAATAAATTTAACAAAAATTGCTGGTTTACCTGTTTATCAAAAAGTCTTCTGTTCCAAATAGGCATTGCTCTAGATGCTTTGCAGTATAAAACAGGACGCCTTTTTATGGCAGCTTAAAGTTTGCCGCCTATAGTCAACATAAATATTATTTAGATTCAAATAGAACCAAAATTTGCGCTGAATTCTTCAGCCTAGATGAAAACAATACAAGGAAATCCCCTGAAGCTTCACTTGGTGGTACAGTGTGATCTCACATGCATCATCATTTGGGTATCAGAGCCGGTTTACAAAGTCTGCTGCTGCTGTTTTTTAACTTCTTCATCTGCAATCTCTGCAGCCTTAAGTATTTAGTTGCCATATTCATTAAGCCCTACCCCCATTATCAATTCTCTCATTATCACTGAAAATGGTATTATTCGTTTCCAACAGAAAGAAGAATTGGACGAGCTCAAGGAAAGGTGAACAATTCACTTGTAGATTTCAGCTCTAACATGTAAAAATGTAAATAACGGTCTTTTAAAAACTGATAACACTTTATTGAATTTGGTGGACTCTAGTAAACTGACGAATCAAGCTGGTTTCTTTTGAAACATTTGAAGACAAGCATGATTATAACACAATAGCTTTTATTTTTCAATGAAAAGTACATTTATTATAAACATTCTACTTTTTTCCATCTAGTTCTACATTTCTAAGCTGTTGACTATCCTCCCTTTAAAGAAGTATCAACGCAAAAAATTTGGCATCGCCAAAAAACATTTTTCGTCCATCTAGTTTGTTATGTGACCAGCAAAGACTATCACAAGAAGGCTCAATGCTGTCTTGAATACAGAAATAGGGTCTAATTAGGGGAAGAAAGTTGAAGCGAGCAAGGGTACGAGTGTCTGCGAGCGCGGGTCGTCTGGAGGCCGATATCGGAAGATTTGAACGAGCGCGTAATTGTCGTCACGATCTATGAAAATTAAAAACAAACCAATTTTGAACGAGCATGGCGCAAAAAGGATAAAAGAGGAAAAAACGTTTTCTATTCTGGACAAGCTCTCACCAGTTTGGGGGATAGCCTGTGGTATAATTCTATAATACATAGGTTTGCATACCATTCTATTCATTTTATAACGGGAAACTTTAGCACCTAATACCTAGTAGGCCTAGAACAGGTCGGTTGGGAGCGGTTCGAAACTTTACTTTTGACAGATTTAATTCTTTCTTCATTATATCCACATTTTTAATTTCACTGACGTGAGCAGCCATTACCGCTAGGCAGAAGCTTGCCTTGTACCGAGAAATCCCCATCGACCGAGAGCTTTCACGATTATTTTCGGATTTCAGATGATCAATCGATTATTTGTTGATGACCATTGGACCGTAAAAATACTAGGTTACCAAAAATTGCGTCGCACTGGTTTCTCTCGCTTGTTTCTCGCAACATTTATGCTATGCGATACAAAGCACCTAAATTTTTCAGTAGAACTTTTATCCCCACTTCATATGACCAAAATTTTTGTGCAATTATCGGGGGTCGGAATTTTGCGTTGGTGCCTCTTTAAAGATTGGCTAAAAATTTTTATTAAATGCCTAAAGTTATCAAAAATATTTCTAAAGAGCACATCAAAGTCTTTGTACTTTTGAAATGCTTCAACGTCTAATGTAGATTTTGAGGCTGTATCTCTGTTCAAAAGCGTGAAAATATTTTGCTTGGGTGTTTGAATAGTTTATAAACGAAATATCATCAAAATGAATTTTTGATGAAGCGAAAATGTTCCATTTTGTAGAAAAATGCAATGTGTAGTAGGCAGCCGATCTTTGTTGCAGAAGATATGTCACCACCCTGGAATAAGCTTCATTTTTTTCACGGTTCTCAAAATAAAGACGATTTATGTTTAATAGAGATAAAAAAGTGGGTAATCTTGACAAATTGAATGAAATCTCTTATCAAAAGAGCATTGAAAATTTGTTTAAAGGGCCACTCCAGCCCAAAATTTTTATTTCCGAATACGATGAAATCAGACCTCCTGAAAACGAATCTGTTATTATTTTTTTCATATCTTCAGCCGTTTTGTAGTTATTAGCGTTTGTAAATTGGTCATTGAGTTGAATTGTTTTTCAACCGTGTTATCGGAGATCTTCGGATTGACGTCACAGGCATTTTCGGCCTCTGCATTTTTGCGGCAAGTACCATCGGCTGTCCAAAGGGTCAACGAGAATGTTGCGAAATGGCAAAAAGGGCCTAGCAGCGGTATATTTGTTAGAAGGCCAGACTTTTATCTATATAAAGAGACAAGTATCGTCGGTCAGTCTTGATTTTCAGATCGAATATGGAAGTATTATATCGCACGAATCTGCCTGACAGAGCAGTCAAATTGTCAAAGTAGGCCAGCGAGACAGAGACATGAGGATGTTCAAGGTCTGGATAATGGAACGTTGCTTTTGATGCAGTCTGTTTTGGCAGGCCAGTTTTCTGATTTTTAAAAGAATATTCGCGCTTTTTCATCAGCTCTACATTCAGTGCAATAACCAAAAAAAGCCATCACGCAATTTATTCGGAAAGACCTAAACAAAACCAGTATACCAGGTTGATACTATAGATTCAGCAGGATAAAGAGCTTCATATCAACATGAATTATTGAGAAAAAAAACAGGACAATCAAGGACATGGACATGGAAGTATACAAACTTTCAAGACAGGACTAAAAACCTACCATTAGTCATGAGTCAAACAACTTTTTTCAAAAATTATACCTATACCATTTGTTCTTATATCTATAGACAAAAAAGTGATTTGAGATTATATTAACATTTCATCTTTTTCAATATACTTGTGTAAAAATAATTTTTGTATTGAATCTTCAAGCTATTGCAGTGGCCTTGTCAGGTCCTTTAAGCTGTCAGAATTTTAACCTGCTATATATCAATGAATAATGAATACATGTTTGTATTTAAATACTTAGCTACATTGAATAATATATTATAAATATATATACAGTCAGGCCAGTGAACTAGCTAGCAAATTTGTAATTTAAATTGCACATGAGAAATGTTCTTATAAAAGTATGCTGAAACAATAATCTATTGCAAAATTTATAGAAAATACCTATATGCTGTTACTAGTTTGAAATAATAGCTGTGGATTTGCAAACTTTATATAGAAATGACCAAATTATCTATAAAATTTTGATAAGTTCAAAAATAGTCTGCTTTGTAAAAGTGTGTCAAGGTCTTTGTGGTAACTCTTGCAAGGAAAAAGGGGTGAGTTATCACTCCCCCAAAGCCAGTAACCAGATAACAGGATACATGTAATCTCCAACCTTCATCTAGCATTTTTGGCAAGATCCTTTCTATTGATCCATAAAAGTGTTTGTTACCTTTTTGTATGCCTAGAAAAACAATGTTGACAGGGATAAATAATAACCTACCAGTGAAATTTACTTTAGAGTCACTTTATCACATAAAATGATCAAAGAAATCATAACCTTGGACACTCAGGGGCATTCAGAGCATAGATATTTAAAAGGATCAAAGATAAATTTGGGGATGAAAGGGCAACCACTGTTGCTATAGCAAATAACATCTAAGGATATATTTAGGTAACACAAAGATAAATTTAAATGATATAGGCCATGCTTATATGAATCAATGCTAGAATAGCAAAGGTGTATTTAATATAAACAATTCTGCCTTTAAAACATTAGAATGAGGATATGACACATCTGTTTTCAAAACCAAGGGTTTAAATTCCATGTTTTCTCTTTGGGGTAGTAGATCTTTTGCCCTGGATATTGATCTGGCAAAATTTTGAAATTGTGTATCAGTTTTATGATGAAATAGGCAGAACTCCAAAATTGAAGACGAAACATGGTAGAACATGAAAACTAAGGGTTGAGGAGAGAAACCCTCAAAAATTTTACACATCTGTACCTCGGGCAAGGTTGTACTGCACAGATCATTGGCAAGGATGTAGTGCTAGGAGGCTCAGGCCCCCTTGTTGGTACAAAAAGTAGCAAACTTCTACTTTCAGTACTATTTTATGACATTTTGCTTGAGAGCCCCTGTTGTACTTTTCTTCTTAGTACCACACCTGACACCTCTAACCATTTGGTGGACAGTTCATGAGACTGACTGTTAGAAATCTTACATTTAGAAGATAAAATTTTTCTCAAAGCCTGGGAAATTGCATTGCTTAGGGGGTGTGTGTCACACCTTCCCCAAACCCCCTCCAAACCATGGTAAAATGATAACAGGCACCATGGAGCATTGAGAAAAGTGGGGGTCTAACAAAGTGGGGGGAGACTAAAACCATATAAAAAGAGGCTTTACTGGTAGTTTATTACCTAATATTTAGCATTTCTGCAAAAAGTGGGGAGCTAAAGCCCCCCTCCCCAGCCCCCGTCCCTGCTCCGCGGTGCCTGAATTAGGATGGATTGTGACTTACGGGAAAGCTTCCATCTTGTGAATGGGATTCTTCTTCTAATGCGGTAAGACATCAATTATTATTCACCTCCCTGGAAATCCCTGAGATGAGACGACGATAAGAAATGCCTTCGGTCAGAAATCCATTCACATCTGAAAATTCGTGAAGCATTCCATGTTGAAAAGCTTGCTGCGTTGCCAAGATGAGGATTTGCATTCAGGTTGAAGTTTCCATCTTTAATTTATCGAATTACTATTCCATGTTGGCTGGAAGCCTCCGCTGGACATCAATCGCAATGAAGGAAAATAAATAAAACGACAACCGAGATTCCGACATGAATCGCCTCTTCCGAGCCGCTACCGAGTCGTGCGAATTTCAGTGCGAACGTATAACAATAGCGCCGAATGTTGAAACAATGGTCCCTTCATACGTCACAAGGTACTTTTTCCGAAAAAATTTTTGTCGTATTTTTACGGCGATTCTCAACTTTGAGCGTCTATATCTGGAAAACGAGTTAAGCTTTTCAAAAAAAAATTTCACGATGGCTTCTTTTTCTCGACTAACTACCAATTTATGCAAAAATCTCAGAAAAAATGTTTGGGCTGGAGTGGCCCTTTAAAGGAGAACTGACACGCAAAAATAACTTTGGCTTAATCGATGCAAAATTTGTTGCTGATTTCAAATCTGAAAAAAATTTCCTTCTTAGACTCGCCGTTTTTCTGATATTTGCACTTTTATCCGTCAAATACGTCATTGCCAGGACTCGGGAATTTCCCGAAGCGTAAACAAGATTATCGCCAGGAGTTGTTAAAATTCTCGGCTGACGTCACAAGTGACATGTTAACAATGCCGTTGTAAAGGCTTTCACCGCAACGGTAATAGCCAAAATGAAGTTTCGTGTAATTATGTTGGAGCAATAGCCAAAAGACAAACGAAATCTAGTGGAGACAGCGGTAATAGCGATCCTGCAACCTGCTTTGGGTGCAGAAATATGAATTCAAGAAAAAGCCTTGGTTGATGGGAGCTGCGAGTGTGACTAAATAATAATTTCACTGAACTTGATTATTGTTGTTATTGACATTTTAACAGAGGTTGAGATACTAGGGAATAACCTAGTCTTGAAAAAGACCATCCCCTACCCAAGTCAAAATTGTTTGCAAAAAAAGATAATGTGCCAGTTGATAATCCTATGACAGCTTAACAGCATTTTCTTCGACTAAGAAATCAAGTTCTTTGACTAAGAGGTAAGAGCCTATTTCGTAAATCCAGATTTTTCGACTGCCAGGTAACTTATCAGTTCCCGAAACCCTTCACGGCCGGTGAAAATGGCATATAATCCGCACAAGTGCGACTTTCAACCCGCCTTTACTATTTAATATCACTATACAGTTAACGCGTTTGAAACATTGAAAAACAATCATAGAATGTTACATTTACAATGAATAACTTGCAGTTCCCTTTAGGGCATCATAGGCATTTCAGCGAATTAGGCCATACAGACAAAGCAGTCTGGACAAAGACGCCTCAATCTGAAATGAAATTCTAGTTTAAGGATACCTGATCTCATTTAAATTGTAGCAATAGCATTGTTTTTAATAGAAATTCCATATCAGTTTGTACTTTGTTCATAACATCGTCACTGTTGAGCCATGGGACGACTGTCTGCCCAAGCGGCAGCGCAGGTTGGTAGCAAAAACTTAGACGGCTGAAACTCTCAATTTGTTTCGAAATCAGTGTAATAAAGCTCGGATTCAGAGTCCCAAACCATTGAAAAAGTCAATTATGTGTCAAAAATGCAAAATTAGCTCATTTCACATGCACAAAAAAAAACATTTGTCCGCAGCATTTTCTTGAAGTTTTGTATAGAGAAACACAATACGTGCTGAGAACATGTCACTTGTGACGTCAAAGATGATCGCTCACTCGTGACGATTTTCGCCTTGAGTCTCAAGTTGTCGGAATAATTGTCGTTTCTCAACTTAAAACGCCTGTATTTCAAAAACGGTAACTGTGATTTGAAAAATTTTTTCGATCCCGGAATTTGCTTTACACAAACTACCGTTTTAGCCAAAATCATTTTTGCGTGTCAGTTCTCCTTTAAGGCAACATCATACGATACTTTGGGTTGGCTATTGCAGAAACCACATCATGTTGATAAAATAACAGAAATTAACAGATAGATATAATTTCATTTCATTTCATTTCATTTCATTTCATTTTATTTCATTTCATTTCATTTCATTTCATTTTTCATTTCATTTCATTTTTCATTTCATTTCATTTCATTTCACTTCATTTCATTTCACATTCATTTCATTCATTTCATTTCACTTCATTTCACTTCACTTCATTTCATTTCATTTCATTTCACTTCATTTCATTTCACTTCACTTCACTTCACTTCATTTCACTTCACTTCACTTCATTTCATTTCATTTCATTTCATTTCACTTCACTTCATTTCACTTCACCTCATTTCATTCCATTCCATTTCATTTCATTTCATTTCATTTATTTCAATTCATTTCACTTCACTTCACTTCATTTCATTTCATTTCATTTATTTCAATTCATTTCACTTCATTTCATTTCACTTCATTTCACTTCACTTCATTTCATTTCACTTCATTTCATTTCATTTATTTCAATTCATTTCACTTCATTTCATTTCATTCATTTCACTTCACTTCATTTCATTTCATTTCATTTCACTTCACTTCACTTCACTTCATTTCATTTCACTTCATTTCATTTCATTTCATTTCATTTCATTTCACTTCACTTCATTTCACTTCACCTCATTTCATTCCATTCCATTTCATTTCATTTCATTTCATTTATTTCAATTCATTTCACTTCACTTCACTTCATTTCATTTCATTTCATTTATTTCAATTCATTTCACTTCATTTCATTTCACTTCATTTCATTTTACTTCACTTCACTTCATTTCATTTCATTTCATTTAATTTCATTTATTTCAATTCATTTCACTTCACTTCACTTCATTTCATTTATTTCAATTCATTTCACTTCATTTCACTTCATTTCATTTCATTTCATTTCATTTCATTTATTTCATTTCATTTCAATTCATTTCATTTCATTTCATTTCATTTCAATTCATTTCATTTCATTTCATTTCATTTCATTTCATTTCATTTATTTCATATTATTTCATTTCATTTCATTTCACTTCATTTCATTTCATTTCACTTCACTTCATTTCAATTCATTTCACTTCATTTCATTTCATTTCATTTCACTTCACTTCACTTCACATCATTTCATTTTATTTCACTTCACTTCATTTCATTTCATTTCATTTCATTTCATTTCATTTCACTTCATTTCATTTTATTTCATTTCACTTCACTTCACTTCACTTCACTTCATTTCACTTCACTTCTTTAGAGAATTACCTGCCAGGAATCACTACTAAGATGTAAATAGTTAAGATCTATTTACTTGGCAGGTTAGAATTACCATATAGGTTCATTCGTCTTGAAGATCAAATTCTATATCAAAGTCAGAGGACTGTATAATTTCTTATTCGTATTTATATGCAAGATAAAGTATAAACATCAGCGAATATAATGACATAAACAACAACGAATTATTAATCAGAGAGAAGAATTAACGTCCAGAGAGAAGAAATAACGTAAGAATTTTAACGAAGTCACCTCGGTCCATCAAGGTCTTGATTTAGTATTATTTTGAATATTGTTCTTTACGTGAATCGTTCGCATCTATCTTCCTTCATCGTGACTGTCGTTCGCATCTATCGCGAGTTCTTTTTGAGATATAA